TCAGGAGAGGAAGCTGCCTCTTCCAGGGAGGATACCTAGCTAGCAGGAAAGGCTGGGCATGTTGGTTGGGGGTGAGCTGGAGGGTACCACACTAAGGAAGTCTGATGACTAGATACAGAATTTTCAGCCAGCCTCCTGTTTGCAGGTCAAGCTACATGGGCACCTAATATTTCTCATCCAGAGTCATAGTTCTGGGTGCTGGATTCCAGTCAGGAGCTCTTCCTGGCTTTGTAGTAGCAGTTTCCTTTGCTCCACATCCTCACCCCCAACCTGATGTAGTTTCCATCCTCAAAATCTTTTTTTTTTCTTTCATTATTTTCTTTATTACATTTTTTTTTAGAAAAGAGCTTGCTTCACATGTCAATCTCAGTTCCCTCTCCCTCCCCTCCTCCTGCACCCCCCACCATCCCCCCCAGCCTCCCATCCTATCCCCACTTCCTTCCCCACAGGGGAAATCCTGAGTCTGTCATTTCGCTCAGGGCAGGGTCCAGGCACTCCCCCCAAGAGTCCAGGCTGAGAGAGCATCCCTCTTTGTGTTATGGACACATGAAGTCCATTTGTATGGCAGGGATAAATACTAATCTACTGCCCAGGGCCCCATAGGTTGCCCAGGCCTCCTCACTGACTCTCAGGGGGTCTGGATCAGTCCCATGCTGGCCTCCCAGCTGTCAGTCTGGGGTCCAAGAGCTCCCCATTGTTCAGATCAGCTGTCTCTGCTGGTTTCTCCAGCCCATTCTTAGCCTATTTGTTCATCACTCCTCTCTCTCTGTCACTGGGTTCAAGGTGTTCAGTTCAGTGTTTAGCTGTAGGTGTTTGCCTCTGCTTCCATCAGTCACTGGATGAAGGTTCTAGGATGGCATATAAGGTAGTCGTCAAGTTCATTATCAGGAATGGGCATTTAAGGTGGTCTCTCCACTATTGCTTAGCTTGCCAGTTAGTGTTACCCTTGTAGATCGCTAGAGGTCTCATTGGTGCCAGATCTCTCTTCAAACTTATGACTCCCTCTATTATGGTATTTCTCACCCTGTTCTCCCCATATTCTGCCCCCAACTCAACTTTCCTGTTCCCCCATGACCTACTCTCTCCTCCTCTTCTCCCCCTCTCTTCTTCCCAACTCCCACCCCCCCACCCCTTACCGTGTTCCCAATCTGTTCAGGAGAACTTGCCTCATTCCTCTTCTCTGGGGAACCATGCTTATCTCTCTTAGGTTCTTTCCTGTTTCCCAGACTCTCTGTCAGTGGAAGTGCAGAGTGGCACTATCCTGATCCATGTCTAAAATCCATATATGAGTGAGTACATACCATGTTTGTCTTTTTGTGATGGGTTACCTCACTCAGGATGGTTTCGTCTCATCCTTAAATCTTGACATTATTTCTCTTCTTTGGAAATGTGTGGTAATTATCTTTATTATTTTGAGTGTGTGTGGGGGACTGAGTGTGAGCATGTATGCTTACCTGTGGAGGTCAGAGGCCTACCATGTAGGTCTCAGGAATAGAACTCAGGTTGTTAGATTTGGCAGCAAGTGCCTTTGTCCAATGAGACATCTCTGTTTTTATTTTATTTTAATTACATTTATTTATTTATTTCCCTTCTTAAATCTTCTCTCTGTCCTTGGGAGTTGTGGCGATTAATCTTTGTTGTCAACGTGACTGGATTTAGGATAACCATGGAAACGCATCTCTGTGTCTATGAGGATGTTTCCACAGAGTTGTAACTGGGAAGGCTTACTGTGAATGTGGGTGGTACCACACTTGGTTCCCAGACTAAATAAAGAGGAGGAAGTGAGCCAGTGTGAAGCTGCTTCAGGCCTTTGCCATCCTGCCTTTCCCACCTTTGAGGACGGTCTCATCTCAAACTGGGAGCCAAAATAAGCCCTTGCTCCTTGAAGTCCTTCTTGTCAGCTAGTTCCACTGCTCAAGCGACGTGGCTAACGCAAGGGTTTGTACCACCCTTCCTCCTCTCCTGGCTTTTGAGAGACTAAAACGCCAGGTCTGAAGTGTGGTCAGGTCAGCAGGCTCAAATGGCTCAAGGTTGTACCTTTTGCTCCCTGTGATGGAATGATGTGGCCGACTACATCAGAGTGATAGTAGGGAATTGCCAGCAGGCACAACCCGAGGTGATGACTGTATGGCTGCTTGTCATGTCCTACTCCCATTCCACAAGAGAAGCCAGCAAGGAACCGTGCTGGGCTCTGCTATCTTTGAAGAGGAAAGATGGGAAGCAGAAGTAGTTGGGGAAGAGCACACTAGCTCCTTGGACTTGATGTCCTTAGTCTTCTTGTGACCACACCTGGGCCCAGGCAAGCTGCTGACAGAAAGAGGAGGCCTACAGGACAAAAGGCAAGTCTGGGGCTCTCCTGTTCTGGGGACCAGGAACCTTATCTGTGGTGTCACTCTGGCTCCTGGATCTGCACATAAGGCAAGTGCTTGGGCAGACAGGAGTAGGGTGGAGGGTGTTGCTTTAGAGGGTGAGGGGGCTGGGAAGGAGACACTACAGGAAGATGACCTTGACTGCAGACAGAAGGTGGGCACGTAGGAATGTGTCTTCCTCTTGACTCTATACCTTTTCAGGAACGACATGTGGGCACACTTCGCCTACCTCTCTGAGCCCGTTTCCTTTTCTATAAGTGGAGTTTACACTGCCCACCTCATGTGCTACCGAGAGGATGCGATGAGGTAACCCTTTGCTGGACCAACTATAGGTACTCAGCATCGCTTGTGAACATATTGAGAGTGATGCTGGAGGCCAGACTCTCTCCCTGTTCTGTCCCACCCTGGCCACTGTACTTTTTCCCTCAGGGATGGAAGACTACTCAAGAAGGGTGGAGCCTGGGGCGCTCATCCCCACAGTGAAGAATGCCCTTGCCCTCTAGATGCCTTGGCCCAGAGAATTTAGGTTTGAGAGCCCCTATGCATCTCTGCCTTCAAGTCTTTGAGCTCCGGGGAGGGCTCTGGGAACCTTGGGGGCATGTAATATTGTATACCTTCACAGTTTCCTTTTGCCTTTGCCCTTCCTTCAGTCTGGAGAGCATGTTGGAAGTTAAGATCAGGGTCACACGAAGCCAAAGATCTCTTGTGTCCCGTGGAGACCCCAGCCTTTCCAGAGACATGGGGCTGAGAACTGGGAAGCCCAGAGTCTTGCAGGTATGCAGTTTTCCTCATCTACTCCAGTCCCACACAGACAGGCCTGCTTCCCGTATCGGAGAGCACACTGCAGTGTCCCGCCCCTGAAGTGGCAATCCTCCTGTCTGCCGCAATAACAAAGAGATGGGTAGAGGGAACTATGGGAGTTTCGTAACAGTTAGACTGAGAGTGGAGTTCAGAGACCCACAGCTGCAAGCTTCACCAGAAAAAAGAACTGGCTCTGGAGTCTGTGGGAAAAACAAAAACAGAACAAAAAACAACTGATGGGAATAGGTGTTGAGTTCCTTCCCACGAGGCACAGCAACACACCCATGCTATTGGGGTGCCCTTTCCAGCACCAGCAGTGTCACACTACTGACACAACATGATTCAACATGAACTCACAGCAGATCCCAGAGGACAATTTCAAGGATAAAGATGGGGATGGGGGCAGGTTGTCATGGTCCCATGACAGCCTATTGTGTTGCCGTAGCAACATAGCTCGGCCTCCACCCTGTGCAGTCTTGGTTTCTGTGATGGACAGAACTCTGTGGTGCTTCAAAACATGAGGGTAAGGAGACCCTACAATCCCCTGGAAAGTTGACTAGGGAACCCCGAGGCTGTCAGCTTAGGCTGAGGCATCTTGTGGGCAGGAGGGTAGATTCCCTGGGGTTTCCTAGTGACAAGCTCTCCTTTTTTCTACCCAAATTTGTATTTCCCAGCTATCGGGCTCCCAGGAGTTGACCGAGATGGGAACCCTGTCATCCTAAAGAGGCTTGAAGGTGCAGCTGTGACGAGGGGTGAAGCACCATCAAGCTCACTGTCACAGGTTTGTTCTTGAGTCATTTATCATTCAGGTCCTCCGCATGCTACCATGAAGACCAGAAGAAGGCACGCCCATGCTGGGATGGCCCCAAGCAGAGAGGTTCCCTGTGAGAGATGGGTGCTGTAGAAGTCCCTTGCACCTCTACGCCCAGGGGCCACGCCACCCTACAGAAGCCTGGAGGTGGACGCAGGTGATACTCAATCCTCTGCCAACAGGGCAGTGATTGGCACTGTCTTCCAGATCATTCTGTCCAACTGACTGACACGAGGAAATTGAAGGGAAGGAACTTAATGGGTCTGTGCCCCACTCCACTCCGCCGCAGTTTGGGAAGTCCCGGAGCTAGGAGGGCTGCTCCGGAACATTTTAGAGAAACTTGATCTCGGGCTTGGGAGCAGTAGACACACCTTGAGAGGTGGAGGCAGGTAGATCTCTGCAGGCAAGCCTGTCTAGCTCCTAGTGCGTTCCAGGCCAGTCAGGGCTACACAGTGAAACTATCTCAAAACAAACAAAAAACTCCATTCTAATAGATAGGTATTTTTTTTAAAAAGAACAAAACTTGATCTTGCTGAAGTGTCCAAGCAGCATCCGATTTGGGCACCTCTTTAGGTTTTAAGACTTTCAGCATTTCATTTTTAATATGTAAAGATTTATTTTACTTTTAATTAGTGTCTGTCTGTCTGTCTATCTGAGGGTCTGTACTTGTGTGGGTAGATGTCCAAGAGGCCAGAAGAGGGCTTTGGCTACCTTGGAGCTGGAGTTACAAGTGGCTGTGTCCGTTGAGTGTTAGGAATCAAACTCTAATCCTCTAGAAGAACCACAAATGTCCTTAACAGCCGAATCATCTCTCCTGCCCCTTAATTTTTTATTTCATATTTTCAAAGCATTGAGCTGCAACAGACTGGGGAATAGCCAAGGCCTTCCTTAACTATTAGTGTCAACAGCACCGACTTTGGCACCAGAGGCATCTTGAAATCAGCTAAGAGGCAACTGAGAGAGAAGAGGGCCTGTCCCATCTGCACTCCTCGACGATGTCAGGGAGGAATTGCACGCGGTGAGACAGCAGCATTGCTTTATTGCCACAGTCCAGAAGTCCCCTGCCCCAGCCCTGCATGCTGGCGGGCTGGGGCTGCGATCCACACTCCCTTCCCCCACCCCGCCCTGCACTCAGCCCCGCGCTGGCGTGGCTGGTGCAGCCCGAGCCGCCCTCCTGCCATAGCGCAGGCCGAAGGAGTTCCAGTTGTAGGCTGACAGGTCCTTCTCACGCTGCACCAGCACCGCTCCACGGGGTGCGGGGATCAGGCGACTGCGAGCAGAGCACACGGGCCGCAGGCGCCCCGCGGAGCTCTCCACGGGTGGGCACGGCGAGGTCCGACGGGCTCGCAGTCCTGCAATCCCAGGTTTCCTCTGTGCGCACCGCGGGCCCTTTTCCCAGGCATTGATGAGTTCCTGGGGTCCGGGCCGCTGGCCTAGGACAGACAGCACAGGCAAGTGAGGCTGGGGTGACAAGGCTTGCTTTGGACACCTCCCGATGCTGGCCCTCGGTCCTCAACCCCAGAAGCTCGCCTCTGACGTCAATGTGGAGTCAAGGTGCTGTCTGGTTAGGATGGTTGGGCTGTTTGCACCTTCCTCCTTCAGTAACTTTACTTTCAAGTTCTTGCCAAAATTCCCTTCAAAAAAAGACTTTATTAAACTATCTCTTTGAAGAAGCAGTTTGGAAATCAAGAAAACCCAAGTATGCAGGGGGACACTCTGCTCTGGCCCTCTTCTGGGGTCTCGGCCTGGTCCCTCAGTTGAGTGTCTGCATCTGGAGTTTGGGTAGCCCAGGAGCACCTGGGGCTTGGGGAAGGGAGGGGAATCCATTTATCTTTCAGAATGCTTGAAACAGTACCCTGCACATAGTAGGGCCTCAATAAGTGCTCATTAAATAAAAACTAGCGAAAAAGTGGAATAACAGAAATTGAAAAAGTGGAGCCAATGTCATTGTGCCCCACACCTGTGACCTGACCCTGGTCTCTGAGGATGATTGTGAACCTTCATATGCAGTATCAAGACTCAGTGACCGCCCGACATTATCTGTGCTCTAACAGGCGCAGCTCCCCCAGGCAGGTGCAATGCCTTCCCTTCCTGCTGGAGGCTGACAAGGCCCTCTGCAAACACTTCACAGGCAAGGCTCATTAAATTCTCTCTCTCTCTCTCTCTCTCTCTCTCTCTCTCTCTCTCTCTCTCTCTCTCTCCCCCTCCCTCCCTCCCTCCCTCTCTTTGGCAGTAAAATAGGGCAAGTAGCTCAGCCAACACAGTAAGTCAAGTCAATTATAGCTAGTTAGTAGCAAAGAGGCCTGGTGAGTGGGTGTTGGGGAGGAGGATGGCATTGAGCCTTGCTCCTGGATACCCTGGCACACTTTGGAGATGAGTGTGGCTATGGTCCAAGATTAATAATAACCATCTGGGAGGCCTTTCCTACCTTCACTGTGTGGGAGAGAAGACCTCAGTTCCACACACAGGATATACTGTGTGGGCAGACAAAGCCAATAGTCAGAGTCCCTGGACAGTGAATTGGTGAATTGTCTGGGGCCCTGTGCCCTTTGGCTTTAAAGGGTGATGCACAATGATGTCAGACTCCATGCCTAAGATCTGGGGTCCAGAGAGGCTGAGCAATCTCTAGTATATACAGGAAGCAGATGACCACGGGGAATTCAGACTTGTGCCCTGACTCAGCAGCCGTGCTCTTGGGGTACCCTGGCACCTGCCGGGATTCTTCAGTATTTGGCTGAATAACTTTGGGGAACACTTCACCTCTCTGGACTTTTGTTTCCCCAGCTCATCAGTTTCCCCAGTGAACTCGTGAGTTTGACACGCATTGAGGTCTGTCTATGTGTTGAGGTTTTGCTTTTCATTTGCTTATTTTTCAATCCCCTCAAGGGGTCTGAGGTCACAGATAAACGCAACTCACACATTCAGCCCCTTCCCAGCATCCATACCCAGAAGTGCTTGGTGTAGAGCAGAGAGCACTCAGGAGACCATCACAAAGGAGCTGGGGTGACCAGGCCCCTGGACCTAGATGAGCCTCCTGTGCTCACAGCAGATGGGGCCCCAGCTATCCATCAAGTACAGTGATTAAACTCATGCCAGGAGCCTGGCTACCGTCTGAAAAACGTGGCCTCATGTGTAATGGCTCTCGTGCCCCCTTTTCCTGGACCATGCGTACCTGTGGGTCCAGGGTTCGCCACAGGCGCCACTTTTGCCAGTGGTTCCCCAAAGGTGGCCACACAGAGGAGAAGCAGCAGCTGCCAAGAAGCCAATGTGGTCATCCCGGCAGCAAGGGGCACGCGCACGGTGTGTCCAGAGGCTGAGTGAGACAGAGGCCACAAAGACTAGGTCAGAGTGAGTACTGTACCTGAGCCTAGGTCAAAGAGAGAGCCTGGGGGAGAGGAGAGAGCCCTGTGACCAGCGTTGGCCTGTGGAGGGATAAGCCTGAAGCAAGGCCACAGGGAGCAGGACTGAAGGGGCGAGGAAGGAAGGGTCAGATTTGGAGGAAGGTGTGAGCTGCTTTCCTTGGATAATGGTGGGGTTGTTGGTCGTGGGTTTGCTGGAGAGCAAGTTGCCATGCATGGGGGTGATCAGGGAGGGGGAGGTAGATGAGGTCACACAGGAGTATGCTCTGAGGTCCAGCTGGGAGCCTGGGAGCCTGGGAGCAAGCACTTCTCCCCTTGTGCTGGGCTCTATGCAGACGCATCTTTCTTTGCACTGCCCTCCTGGGTGGCACACGCCTTCCTCAATCTGGCCCTGACCCTCCTGCTATAATAGAAAACCAATTCCTTATCTCTTCCAGGAAGAAAAAAAGGAAGAAAGAGGCAATCATCTTGCACATTCTCAAAGCTCTCCGCAGCCTTGGAGACCATCATCAAATTGTTTTACTGCCTATAATTCAGGACCGGAAAAGCCTTTCTCTCAACTAGCCCATCAGTTGCTCCTATTCTCATGGGCTCTGGGAGGTTGTCAACTAAACTGGCCGCATCAGTTTGACTGCTGAGACAGGAGCTGTGTAGCCTGAGTCTCAGGTAGCCACTCTGCCTTTCTCCCCTCCTGTCCCCCCTCCCCTCCACACTCCCTCCCCCTTCCCCCCCCCTTGCCCCAGCTCTCCAGCACCAAGCACTTTGAAACTGTCCAACAAATGGGATTAAGGACAAAGTGCCCCGGAGGCTGGTGGCACAACAGGTTGAACCTAGGTTTCTGTCCAAGGGCAGGGGTCAGGAGTGTCATTGTGACCAACTTTTAGAAGCAGCTTCTCAGCACCATGCATCCTGCTACTGTGTTCCCTTCCCAGTCCAACTGCAGACTCGAACATGTTGTGGAGGATAAGAATCCTGACTTGAGGCCTGGAGAGATGGCTCAGCTGTTAAGAGCACTGACTGCTCTTCCAGAGGACCCTGGTTCAATTTTCAGCACCCCCATGGCAGCTTACAACTGCCTGTAACTCCAGGATCTGACACCCTCACACAGACATACATATAGGCAAAACACCAATGCATATAAAATAAGAATAAATAGTTAAAAAAAAAGAAGCCAGCTTTTTCCTTATCCTGTCAGTCATGAGTAGGCCACGCCCATCTCTAGGCACCATTGATTAGCTTGGCTAACCAGGTGCCTGTTCAGACGTCCACAGGACAAGCAGACTGAAAGCCAAATACCTTAAGTCTTGGATAGAATATGGAGTAGAGACAAAATCCACTAGGCAAAGCCTTAGCTATCAGATCCAGTGTAAGGCATTGCTACAAACTATCTACAGACTAGGGCTGTGCTATGTTCTGGGATGCTGAGGATGCTGACACAGGGTACCCCTGATTTAAAGTCTAGTGTAAGAAGTTAACTCATAGGCAGCTTAAACTAGTAACTCATTTCAAAATCACACCAGACACATGTTAAAGTGTAGATGATGGCAGATGGGAAACCCAACCTGGAGGGTCCAGGCTGGTGGTGGTACCTGGATAAGCATGTTCCAGATGAAGAGGGCTTGCAAAAGCCACTCTCCTCAGGGGGTCTGCCTGGGCTGGTGGTGCTGGAATGGCAGGCAGGCAGGGCTGGGTATTGGGGCTGCTGGATACAAAGCTAGAGCTTCATATGGAGAGAAAGCCATCTCAGGTTCTATCCCAAAGGGGAGGGAGGAAGGCAGGAATATATCAGCATGCTCTGAAGATGGTGTCTCCTGGCCTCTCTGGGCAGAGCGGGATGGTAAGTGATGGGGGAGGGAGGTTGTCCGGTGGGAGGTTGGTGATCCTGACGTTTGCCTCGCTGTCCCTGTAGTACTCCATCGCGGACAGTACTTCTCATGTGTAGCCTGCGAGGACTCCGCCTGCCCCTAACACACCCTCACTCCACATATACACACACCACACATAGAGCACACACAGACGCACTGCATACGACATGAGCTGGTGAGATGGCTCAGCAGATAAACGTGCTTGCTATCAAGTTGGACGATCTGAGTTTGATTCCTTGGGCCCACATGATGAAAGGAGAAAACCAACTCCCACAAGTTGCATATGTGCGCTATGCTCACACACTTACACAGCAAAATAATAAATAAATAACATAACGTATGATGCAATACCCCAAATACATTCCACATATATCCACACTCACCATATACATGTCACACATATGCCACACACACAGACCCCCCAGACCCTGATAACTCTTAACTGCTTAGTCTATAGGGCACGCTATACATATAGTAGAATTGAACTGTTTGATAATCGAAAAGAACACACACACACACACACATGCATACACACATGCATACACACACTACACACAACTCGGGCCAATGTATTCAGCCAGGCATCCCAGTATAATTTGGCCAGCCCGGCAATCAGGAGCGATCGGTGCTCCTTGCTTTCTGCTTACTTGATGCTTCAGTTGGCCTTGGGTTGAAGGCCTGCTTCCCCAGATCCTCCCTGAGTCAGGGCAGTCCCAGGTCTTGACAGCAATGTACTTACCTTGGCTGGATTCTGGCTTGAGGGCCGGAGGTCAAAGATAACCACTTGGACAGTTGGAACAAACCGAGAGAAACCACTGGCTCCTGGGTTTCCTCCCTCTGGCGCCCTTATCACAGCCCCTTTTATGAAGTCTATGTGGGTGACGTCTCCAGGCACAATCCCACCTCTGCCCTCCCAGACCCTCCTCGGGACTCCACACCCTGCCACTGGCTTCTGCCTCCTGGCTGTCATGTCGGAGCCAGCAACTTCCTCGCCCCCAGAAACCATCCAAAGCTGCTTTCATAAGCTCACTAATTCTTCCATCATCTCCATCCTCTTGACAGCCCCTCCCTTGCAGCTGGAGGCTCATTCTGCTCCAAACAATGAAGAGAAAGTGCCTGGGGAGTGCCTGGGGAGCGTGTATATGTGAAATGTCTTGCCCCTCTCTGTCAACACACACACACACACACACACACACACACACACACACACACACACACACTGATGTGAATACAAGACACAGGATGAAGGAGAGGAAGGGCACAGCCTGACCCAGAAGCTCCTTGAGCCCACATGCTGCCTTCTCAGAGAGAAAGCCAGGTCAGACCAGCCTCCATCAGGGCGGCTCTTGGGCTGTGAATCAAGAGTGGGGGTAGGGCTGGGAGGGTCTCCTTCCCTCCTTTTCCCCTTAATCATGGGGCCCCTGAATGACATAGGTTTTGACATGAATGTGTCACAACATGGTCAGATGTGCTGGGCAGTTATGTAAGCAGTTGGGTATAAGGAAGAAGAGTAAAGCTCGTCATAGCATACCATACACGGAATTCTTCCTCCTGGGTGGTTGAGGCAGTCTGGGATATGCTGGATATGCAGAGTTCCTGGCCAGGTTGGGTGACAGAGTGAGATATTCTCTCAAGAAGTCAAAGAGTGGTAGTCATAGTGACACATCCCCAGCACTTGGGAGGCATAGGCAGGTGCATCTATGAGTTTGCAGACAGCCTGTTCTACATATTGAGACCTTGCCCCCACCACCAAATAATTATAATACTACTACAAAAGGAAGGTGCTATTTTGTACTTGGTGTTGCTGAACTGGTCCTGAGAAAGTAGATACCGAGAGTGGGCAGCCCTTGGTGCCTGAAGGGCAGGAACAGCTTCCCCATTGGTATTCCTGGCACTTACTCCACTGCTAGGCAAATAGAGGAAGGGGCTTAGTGGGTGATCACCATGACTCTGCTCCTTGCCTCCCTCCCCCTTTCTTCCCTTAAGGGTGCTGCTCTTGTTTGTTTTTATTTTATTTAGACAGGGTCTCACTATAGCCTTGACTGGCCTTGGACTCACAGAGATCCGCTTGATTCTGCTTCCCAAGTACTGGGATTGAAAGTCGGCCACCACAGTCTGTCCTGCCCCCTTTCTTCAGTCTACATGAACTCCTCTTAAGCTACTGTGGTGCATCGTATATATAATCCCACCACTCACACTTGAAGCAGGATGGTCGTGAGTTCCAGGGCAACCTAAGACCTTGTCTCGGGAAAACAAAACAAAGGAAAAGCTCTTTGACCATGAGATGTGGGGCTCTCCAGAACTCCTCTGTGGGGCTGGGTTCTCTGAAGGCAAGGGCACCATCCACCTCCATACAGAGGGTGGTTTCTGCACCAACTCTACCGGCTGAGATTCTCTTCCTGATGCTACTTGTGGTTAGTGCCTGTTACTTGGCTAATGTTAACTGAGGCTTAGAACCATAGCAAACCCTTCAGGTTGTTAAATACCAGCATGGAAACCACATCAAGGACAGGTTCTGACTCTCACAGACTGCAACTATAGCTCGTGGAATCAGGGAGTGAGGTGGTGTTGCAAGCCCACCTTAGGGCTGGGGTGGATATCCTGGATGGAGACATCAACTCCGAATCTCAGATACATTCACAGTTTGGGGATTTAATCTTCACTCCCCTGCATAAATTCCAATTGGGAATGTTGCTTCCAGCCTCAGCTGGGTGTCAGGACCAGGATCTCAACCCCCGGCAGCCTCTTGAGAGAACTTGGGGGTTAAGATCAGTCACTCAGCTCCGTCTTTCTCTGAACTTGGAGATGCCCAAGTGTGATGGGAGGTAAGTCAGTGCTGGGGGGGGGGACTCATGAAGATAACCCCAGCCCCCTTTCAGCCCCTGCACCAACAATCCAAGTTCAAGGAGAGCATCTCCGACGGTTCAGACCATTGAGCTGGAGCCTTGAAGCTTCTGCGACAGCTGTGGGAGCCAAGAATCATTATTCCAGACAAAGAGTGGGAAGCGGATTCAATACCCAGGCTATTACCCATCTGGCCTTGAGATATGGGGCTACTGTGCTTGGAGAGTGTCAGGCCGGTGTGCACAGCTGGCAGGAGCTCTAAGATGTGTGTTCTGGCCCCGTTCCTGCGTGTCTCGGTGTATGCCTCTCAGGTACTTCAGAGGTGGGCGTGGGCCCAGAACAGGTTCTGCTCCTTACCTTATTTAATGTCATCAAGTGTCATATAGGGGGCCCAGACTTAATTAACCAAGTGTCCCAGAAATACATGTTGTCTGGGTCACCTAGAGTTTTCATTTCTTTGTCTGGCCAGCTATTAATGGCGGCCTCCTCTCCACCCACATCTTAGCCACTCCAGCCCACAGAGCCCTCACTTTTGATCTTAGCAAATGGAGGAGCAGGAAGGGAGGGGAGGGAGCCTGGGGTGGGCGTGTCTCAGATAGTGGGGTGGGGTAGGGGAGGCTGCTGCACTTAGGATAGCGCTTAAACCAGTTCCATGTCCCCTCCCACCCCAGATACCCCGCCAAGCCCAGGCTCATGTCCTCACCGTGCTCAGGAAAGAGATGTTAGAAGCGCTGCCCAGGAATCCGAAGGCCACAGGGAAAAAGCTCCTGGGGATAGAGGAGAGGACGGGGTCAGAGGTGGCCCAGGAGGGGAGGAGGAAGGCAGCAAGGCTGACATGCCCTACTCAAAGACTCAGACTTTGGCTCCTGGGACAGCAGCCACTGGGCCCTAGGGACAGACATGTCCTGGGTTCTGTTGAGAGAAGCAGTGGAGTAAAGTGAATGAGAACCACCAGTTGAGCTCGGGTCTGTCATGGCTGTCCCTCTTACTGACACTGTACTCTGAACAAATCTTCACTCCTCGGAGACCATGGCCAGCTTTCAGTCATGCTTAGCAGTATTGGTACCTACATCGTAGGACCTTCTCACAAAGCCACGCTCAAAGGGCACACTTTTTGTGACTTACTCTCATCATGTAAGGGCTTGATGCCCTCTTTGTTAGATGGGGTGGGGAAAATCTGCATTGGTGGCTGAACACCTGGCATGGATGGCAGCTGGAGGTTGTGTTCATGTGGGCACAGCCTTGTGCCTCAGCATCTCCTTGCCGAGGCTACCTTTGCCTTTCAAACTGGCCAGGCCTGACAGGGCACGGATGCTCCACAGGGCTTGGAGGCAGCCAGGCTGGGAAGTGAACCCCAGTGTCCTGGATGAGTGAGAGACAAGAGATCTGAATCTTTTCTGGGTGCTTCTCCCTAAGCCATAGTATATTGGGACCGAGGGGTACTCACTTGAAGAGGCTAACAAATCCATAGGCTTCCAGGAGCATGCCCAGCAGGGGCCAGCGCAGCAACACGATGGCTACACCCCCCAGGAAGAAGCTGGTCCCCTTGAGTTTGTGTCGTTGGAAGAAGAAGGAAAATGTTCTCCTCAGGCCGATGATGAGGGAGAGGCCAGTCAGGAACAGCAGCTGTAGGCCCAGGGAAGTGAGGACAGAGAGAGCAAGTTCCACTCCATTCCCAGGACAGACAGGCGTGCGTGCGTGCGTGCGTGTGCATGTGCGTGTGCGTGTGCGCGCGCGCGCGAGTGTGTGTGTGTGTGTGTGTGTGTGTGTGTGTGTGTGTGTGTGTGTGTGACCCAGCAGTGGCGTGGAATCCCAGAGAGGCTGCTGTGGGGTGGGACTGTCCCCTTTTGCAGCCAAGAAGTTGGTACCCAAAATCCCTGAAGGGTCCCCACTGTGTGGCTCTGCTAGAGCCTTCAGTGTGGTTTATGGGGGCCCAGGCTCCCATATAACTGAACTCTCTCTTCTAGTATGTTCCATGCCCCACCCACACCTCCACTATGCCTTTTCTTTCAGCATTCCAACCACCTGTGACGGCTTTATCCTCCATTTCCTCCCCAGCTACCTTTCATCCACTCCTTCCTCTCAGCCCTTGTATCACATGAAGCGTTTATCTTAACTCTGGCTTTCCCCACAGCTGCCCTGGAGGCGACAGTTATAGCCTTATCATTAGATGCAGGGATTCAATGGTGGGGGACGGGGTCTAATTCGCCACAGGAACACCAGGACCTCACCTAGATCTTGGTGTAATCTTCATGCCCACAGATCCTGCCGTCATCATCCCTGCCCCCTCCCAAGTCCTCATCCACCCTGATTGGCTATGATCTGAATGAACTTGGGGCTGATCCTCCTGGCCACCCAGGACAGGTGCTGAAGGACTCACATTTCCAAAAGCCAGGAGTACGGAGTCAAAGTACAGGAGTATCCCGAAGAAGATGAAGAAGACACCAAAGCCAGTGATGCCCACACCGATCTCTGCAAGAAGCAAGGAGAGCCTCAGCTTTTCTTCCGGATGGGTCAGGTGTTCTGTGTAGGCTCTCGGGGGAGGGAAGACGGGCAGGGGCTGTGGGGCTCCTGGGAAGCTTTGCCCTCACATTGGGCCAATGCTGCTCCTTCCTGCGCCTGCAGGACATTGTTTTCAGGACCTCCTCTGGACTCAATAACCTGCCTATTCTTTTCTGCAGCTGAGCGCTCCGGGGCCACACCCAGTGAGGAGAGAGAAGTGGCTGAAAGCTCCAGACCGTGAGCTCCAGGCCCTTGCTCACTCCTGGATCCATGTGCCCTCTCCTCAATCACCGGTGCTGACCTGCCACAGGTGACTGGGAAAGCAGAAGCCATCGGTTAGCAACACACTCACCCATCCTGCAGCAGCGGCCTAAGTACCTCCCCACCCCCTAAGTCTCCTCTAACTTAACTCAGTAGAGTCATTAGCTCACAGGGTTGACCGCCACTATCAGTGTCCTACAGGCATCATCAAAGACACGGGAGTTAGTAAACCAATGAGCAGCAGGCAGACATGTGGGGCGGGCAGAGCACCTTGTTTGGTCAAGGGCTATCCTCTAGGCATGTGATGTGCACTTCTGACCAATCCCCCCAGAAACAACAGACAGGCATGAGGGTTATTTGGCCTGACATCCTCTCATCTCATGCAGAATTGTGAATTTGACTCTGCCACTGTGAAAGGAAACAAATGACCATTCATTATGCTGCTTTAAAAAAAAAGCTAAATTAAAAATTGGGCTGGAGAGTTGGCTCAGAGATTAAGAGCACAGGCTGCTCTTTCAGAAGACCAGGTTCAATTCCCAGCACCCACATGGCAGCGTTCAACTGTCTGGAACTCCAGTTCCAGGGGACCCGACACCCTCACATAGACATGCATGCAGGCAAAACACCAATGCACTTAAATAAAAATAAAGAAAATAAAATATAAAAAGTTACTTCTGTTTGAAGTGCCATCACACACACACACACACACACACACACACACACACATACACACACACACCTTGGAGATCCTGCTTTCAGAGCTGAGCATGTCAGTGCAGGTCTGTAATATCCCAGCACTTGGGAGGTGGAGGCAGGAGGATGGAGAGTCCATGTCATCCTTGTCTCTTTGAGATCACATGGGCTATAGAGCACGGACCTCAACAAACAAACAAAACCATCCTTCTTTCAGATCCTTTGGTTTATGTCCGGAAGTGGGATTTCTGGGCCACATGATAATTTCTCTCTCTGAAACTTTTCCAGAGTGGCTCGGTCCTTTCACTGTCCCCAGGGCACAAAAGTGTCCCACATGCTTGACAAAACTTGTTTTCAAAAAAAATTATTTCTAGTTTTATTTTGTGTGTGTGTGTGTGTGTGTGTGTGTGTGTGTGTGTGTGTGTGTGATGCATGGCTGCATGTCACCTGTGTGGGAGCCTACAGAGGCCAGAAGGGGCTAGCGGGTACCCTGGAGCTGGAGTTTCAGGCTGTTATGAGGCCTCTGGCCCCGGGGCTGGGACATGAGTCCTGTGGAGCACTCTTAACTGCTGAGCCATCCCTCCAACCCCAATTCTAATGTTTTGATGGCAGCCATGCTAGCTGACAATGCCATATTGTACTGTGGGTTTTTGCTTTGCTTTTTGAGGTGGGGTCTCAGGTTTCTGATAGGCCTTCATGGTATGTCTGGGCCTATTTCCTCCTTCCGTGTCCAATGGTTCTGGCCTGAGTTAAACTTCCTAGCACCCAGACAGAATACAACACCCATGGGGCCCTAGAGCTTTTGCGTTCTGATTCCACACTATGTGATGTTTCTACCCTAGGAGATAAGGTATCCACCCAGATGGGGGCACTGTGGAACTACACCATGTTTCTTTAATGTGAATGATAAAGATGTTTGGGATTTGTTGCAGTAGTGAGAGTTTAATCCAGGGCCATACACCATGTACTAGACAAGTGTTTTATACTAGTGCTGTATCCAGTCTGCCCCCAAACAGGGTTGTGGTCTGCAGTCTAGGTTGGCTTTGAACTTGAGATCTTCCCTCCTCAGCCTTCTGCATAGCTGGGACTGTGGGTGCATACCCCCATTCCAGGCATGTTTTAAGTTCAAGCACTTATTACAAAACAATATACACAATGGTATAAAAATATATTATCAGTTGGGTATGGTGGGGCATGCCTTTAATCCCAGAACTTGAGAGGCAGAGGCAGGAAATCTCTGAATTACAGGCTGGCCTACAGAGTGAATTTCAGGATGGCCAAGGCTACATAGAGAGACTGTCTGAAAACAACAATAAAAGCCCGTTATTTCCTTACACCGGCCAGAAAAATATACATTGTGACTCATAAGACACCCTTCCCCCTGTGTGGAGACATGGTGTGAACATGGTTTTGCTATTTCTTTTGTACTGTTAAGATATCTGCATACCTGCCCTGTGTACCCTTAAGAACGGACTCGGATTTGTTTGTTTTGCAAAGGGCGTAAGTTTCTCAGATTTTCTTTGTATGTGTTTCTGAGGAGGACAGCAGAGCCTGGCTCTCCAGTCCACACACTCCTGACCGTGATTCTCTGCTGCTTGCTTTCATAGACAAACAGGAACCTGAGTCAGGAGGCCACAGAGGCCTTTAGACGTGGAGCTGTCCTCATGGAAGTGGAGGCCAGGAGTAGAGGGATGGATTAGTCTAGCCAGCCACAGCAGTGCCCTCCCCTGCCCTTGCCCGCCAGCCCTCCCCTCCCCCTCACCAGTGTGCCAGAAGATGTGTGCTGATGTCATTAGAGGCAGCCAGGACCACTCTGCGTCCCTGCCAAGCTTCTGAGAACCAATATGAGGAGCTCCTTGTGCTGAGGATCCAAAGTGATCCCCCGGCACAGGCAGATGAGAATCCTGTCCTGCTCAGTGTGTGTGTCTGCATCCCTGACACAGGAGGCTGAGGCAGGAGGATTGTGAGTTCGAGATCAGCGTGGGCTACAGAGTGACAAAACGAAATGGCGGTGTATGCTGCAGCCCAGCCTTAGGAGGCAAAGGCAGGAGAGTTACTGCAGGTCTGAGGCCAGCCTGAGCTATAGGGGGAAATTCTGTCTCCAGAAACCTAAACCAACCAACCGACCAATCAACTCACACCCCCATTACAATTGCTTTGGAGTTTTTGGGATTTAATGTTACTGTATAGCCCAGGAGAGTCCCCCTGCCTCAGCCTCCCCAGTGCTGGGATTATAGGTGTCTCCCACTGAATCCAGCTCATTTTTCTTACGTCAGACTTCTCTAACAGTGATTTGCACCATGATCACTTTTTGGTTTGTTCTGTGCTCTTCTTCATAATGTTGGTGCAATTCTAGAATTGTCCTCTGCTGGGATCAGCCTTTTTTATAGGACACATTTAGTTGATTCCGGCATTCAGCATCGTTCGCAAGCTCATAGACAAGTGCTTCAGGAAGCTTGGTTCTCACACACAACTTCAAAACATAGCCCATCTTTTGCTTCTACTGTAGTTCAGTGACACAATCAGATTTGGGGAAGGGGGCTTGCAGCTGAAGTTCCTTTCAGGATAACAGCCAGGGAAGAGAAGGCGGTGGGTTTGGGTGGGTATGTCACACAGACACACAGGAATGACAGACATGCTTGTTGGTGATGGGTCCCTGATCCAGACAAAGGTCGAAGTGCGCCCCCTGCTGTGCACGTTACAGAGCAGAAAGCGGGAAGGCCAACTCTTGTGGATGGCCTGGCTCTCAGGCACTGCCTAGCAAGGGTGGAGACCTCCACTGGCTCAAGGTTGTCCAGTTTTGGGTTTCCCTATGTCAAGTGTCATCTTGCATCGGCGTTCTAACTCTCCAGCATCGGGTCTCTAGGTCCTGCAGTTTCCCAAACTATTGCCAGAAGGAGCCCCCAGCCTGCAGCCCTTGGGGACAGGCCAAAGCCAGGTGGCCAGGGCACAGCTTTTCAGAATGCATCAGGCAAAGCCTTTTTGCTGCAGGGCATTGTCACCTGGAGCAGGTGGATATGTCTCTTTGGCCCAAGCGTGTGTAAGAAGTAATATAGTGATTGTTTTTACAATTCATGTGATCATCCTGCCTCAGCCTGCAGCCTTTTTCCCTTTTACAATCACAAATGCACTAAATTTCTAAGTACCACAAGGATGCTTTTGTCCTACTTGCGAGTAGGTGTCACCCTGAACTATTTGGAGAGTCCTTCCCTTACCCTTCAGATAGACAAGATACAGATGTCAAAACAGAAAATGAACACATATATTTCTACTGTCTAGACCCCATTCAAGCTATATCCATGTGTGTCTGTAGTAACATTCATAGGAAAAGAACACATCTCAAACTTGTCTCCTGGCTGGTCTCCGTAAGGCTGCTCTTAAGGCAGTAAATTATAAAAGAAACCAAAGGGTCATCCAGGACAAGGAGGAAACCCCATCCCAATTCCTAGACCGTCTTACAAAAGCCCTCTTACAATACACCAATGTGGATCCTGAGACTCAAGATGGGAACCAACTCCTTATGACCTACTTTTTTTCCCAGAGTTACCCTGATATTAGGGCCAAACTCAGACGTCTAGAAAAGGGCCCCCTAACTCCAGTCAGAAGCCCTAAATGTGGCATTCAAGGTGTACCATGGAAGGGATGAAAAGGCCCAAAAACAAAAATACATGATGATGGCTAAAACCTCTCAGCCAGCCAAAACAAAAGCTCAGGCTCACAAAGGACAAAGACTCCCACGTCCTTGTTTCAAGTGTGGTCAGGAGGGCCACTGGGCCCAGGCCTGTCCAAACCCTTGTAAACCACCAGGACCATGTCCAAGGTGCCATCAAGAGGGACACTGGGGCATTGATTGCCCCCATGTTCCTGACAGCATGGGGACATCAATCCCAGATTGCCCTTCAACTGACCTCCTTGGCCTGGCCATTGATGACTGAGGGGGCCCGGGCTCCCTTGGCCTGACCACTGCCATCTCCGACAGGGAGCCTCAGGTAGCTATCACAGTATCAGGGAGGCCCATCTCCTTCCTCCTGGACACTGGAGCCACTTTTTCAGTCTTGATAAATTTTGGGGGAACAACCACTCCTTCCTGTTCCTCTATTGTTGGAGTAGGGGGACAGCCCTATCAGGCCCAATGAACCCCACCACTTAACTGTATCTTTAAGGTCACCCCCTTACTTATTCCTTCCTAGTGATACCAACCTGTCCCATCCCATTGCTGGGAAGGACCCTTTTAGCCAAAGTGGGAGCCTCCATTTCTTTTGCTCCCCCTATCCGCTTGGCCTCAGGCTCGCCAGCTGTTCCCCTTCTCCTCCTCCCCCAAACCACACAGTCTGACACACTTCTTCCCTTACCATCCTCTCTGGTAGATCCTCAGGTATGGAACACCCAAAATCCCTCTATAGCCAAACATTACTACCACTCCTCTCTCCCCATCTCTTTAGACTGCTTTAGCTCAGCAGGAACACACTTTGTGGGCATTCTAGATTCCAAAGACTGCTACAATACCATAACGCTTAATCTACCACACAGCCCCTATGTCCAAATATTCACAATGTGTCGATTCTCTGTGGCACACAGGTATACCACTGCCCACCTGCTAGGTGGTCAGAGACCTACATCCTGGTGTTCCTTTCCCCTAAATTAGGAGTGGTACCTGTTGGAGAGGCCTTGCCAATTCTCATCACTAAATTTACAGCAACACAGCATGACATAAGCAATTCAAATCATACCCTTCTGGCAGCCCTGGGCATAACTGCAGGTATAGCCACTGGAGCAGCAGGACTGACGGATTACTTCCCTAAATATGTACCATAGGCTTCCCTCACCCTTCAGTCTATCTAGAATGTTACTTCTATGTTAATCAATCAGGTATAATAAAAGTTAAGATTCAACAACCTCAGACAGACCTTCAAAAATTTAAGGAACAGCTTGATATCTCTGGCCAGTGGATCACTAATTATCCAATGTGGAACTGGATGCTACCTTTCCTAACCCTCTTCTCTCTGCTTTCTTAATCCTACTAGTGGCACCCTGCCTTATAAATTTTTATCTAGATTCCTTAAACAACAAGTTCAAAGAATTTCTAACCAAACTTTCAAACAGTTGTTATTATAGGGTTACTAGCTCCTAGCTAAGGAACCAGAAAGCTACAACACCTGGACCCATCTGGACAAAGATGAAGATTGTCCCATGAACCTAGATGCCCCCATTCAGCAGGAAGTAGTCTAATGATAACACCGCCCATTTTCCAAACCCCAGTTTTATTAAACCAAAAAGGGGGAATGTAGGGAAAAGGGACCAGTCAAAGAAACACATCCTGAGCAGAGTCAAAGAAACACACTTTGGCCCTGCAACCAGAACCAAAGAAATGTACCCTGACCCTGAAACCAGTGTTTGTCCCTGGAATCAGAGTCAGGGTACATTTTTTTTGGTTCTGGTTGCAGGGCCAAAGTGTGTTTCTTTGACTGGTCCCTTTCCCCTACACATGCTATCTTCAGTATGCCTGTCTGGAATACTTCCACAATCGGTGTTCAACATGACTTTGATCTTTGCAAGATTCAGGCCAGTTATTTTGTAGCTGGTCCCTTCATAGGGCATGTCTAAGACTTTCTCATGACAGAGTTGACTGGCAGAGCTATCTTCCAGATGCTCCCGTGTATACTTACAGCAGGGGCAAACCTGCCGCTAGCCCAACTGCCACTAATGATGTACCTTTACTCTTCAGGCGGCACACTGGGCCCTCCTGTATGAGCGTCCTGCCTCTACTCCTCACCTCATCTTGTCTACCCATGGAGCACTCTGCCCACACTCACTTTGAGTGCTCCTCCGTGTTCTGTCAAATGATGGGGGTTGACAATAGGGATGGACAGCTGATGCTCATGCCCTAACGGGCACAGTTCACATGGTAACTTGCCATAACCATCCGTGAAGGGGCTGCAGTTAACCGCACTCTGCAGACAACTCTGAGCCCCGAGGGGTATGCCATCCAGCCAGGCCTTGAATACAGTTGAGCCTCTGAAAAGCGACATTAACCACTTCTCCAGAAAGTGCTCTTGCTTTGCCGTTCACAACTGACAGTAACCAAATCTCCAGGCAGGTGTCAGTCCTTGAGGGTGAGCAGCCACTGGTTGGGGTCTCCTCTCTTGGCCCCAGGATACCCCTGACTGTCTCCCCGCTGCTAGCTGTCCCCCCCTGCAGTGCTCCCACCCCAACCCCCCTCCTTTGCCACCACCCACTTCCTTTCTTTTATGGTTTGGCTCGCTCAGAGTTTGGGCCCAGCTCCTGTCTCTCCTCACTGTTTCCACACGCCTTCCTGTGTGTTTTAAATGCTGCGTGTGTGCTGACAATGTCTACATTTATCTCTCTCGCCCAGGACTCACGAGATCCCACTGCTTGCTTGGCTGTTGGCTTGGTTTTCCCTCTGGCAGTCTGCATGCCACGGGTCCCAAGCTGTGATCAGCCTTCCTTTCTTTATCCTGTGCCTCCTGTGAAAGCGTCTCCACCGCCACTGTCTGCCAAGTCACTTGTGGCGCCCGCCACCCTCCTGTCTAATCCACTCTTAAGTCTCAGGCGGCTGCTTGCAGAAGTATCCAAGAGCTGCCACGCGTCTCCCTCTTGCACGCCACTCCCAGCCACCCTCTTCTCTATCCTGGGACCCGCCCCATCCCCTGCACAGCCTCCATTAGTCTCTCATCTCCTGCTTGTCGCCACTCCCCTCTCCCATGGTCCTCCTCCACACCATGCTCAAGGAGTGGCAGTGTACCTGCTGATCATATAGCATCCTGGTCATCCCACGCACGTGGAATGAAGCAGGGATCCTTTTCTATATGTGTGTTGCAGATCCTGGGGTGGGAGGGCCCAAATTTCTCCTTCCACTTTCTCTCCAGTCCCCCGCACTCCTCTTACACCATCGCTGTTGACTTTCTATGGTGCCCATACCTTCCTGCCCCAGGCCCTTTGTATATGAGGTTTCTTCGTGTGGACCACCCTCCTCATGCTTTTAAGTGCCAGCTCCCCAGGGGAGCCTGTCCCAGCTTCTGTGCTCTGACATCAATTTGGGTCTGTCATTTCTCCCTCTCACAGGATACAGCCTCCTTTCTCTATCTCCCCCCCCCCGTGTTGCAAGGTGGGGATGCTGGGAGAGCAGTTTTGGTGAGGTATGGTATGATCAGGAGATATTTTGATTGTCATAAGGTAGCAGATGGTTGGCTACTATCACCTGGTGGGTGACCAGAGGTACCGCTAAATTCCATAGTACCAAGGACAGTTCCCATGACAGTATCATCTGCACCCAAAGGTTCAGGGAGTCGAGAGGCTGAGAGGCTGTGCCCCAGGGATCCCGGGACTCCTGTGGCTTTTAAGTACTAGCTATACACATGCATGTTGTTGATTCTTGGATTTCTCTTTTCGGACCAGTCTCTCTCTTGAAGTCCAGACCCATACCCTCTACCCCCTGCCTGAAGTCTAGCCTGGATGTCTGAGACCAACATGCCCAGCCTATTCCAATCTGGCTCCTGCCTCCCACTTTCCACACCCACTTTCCAGTCCACTCAGCAGGTACCGGGGAGGCACTCTTGACTCTTCATCCCATCTTCCAGCAAATTCCTCCGAACAGTCACACAGGACCACTTCCCATCTCCCCACATCCTGTCTCCTGCCTTCTCTCACCCCAGAAAAGCCTCTCCATTGCTGTCCTACCCGCTACAGTCTATTCTTGAGGCTCCCAGCAAGCAGAGTGAGCTTCTGAAATGCAAAGAGGCCACACCTCTCACATACAGCAGCCTCCCAACTTCCCCATCTATACAGGGGTCCACCGCGGGCTTCCCTTCATCCTTGAGGTCTCGGCCGCACCAGCCTCTTTGCTGGACTTCCACTCCACAGATGAAATGCTTCAGGACCTTTGTGCTGGCTGTTCCCTCTTCCTGGAACACTCCCCTGCAGACGCCTGCATGGCCTACCCTCTCACTTCTTGTAGTCATCGGCAATAGGGCCTTTTCCAGCAAAGCCTTCCCTGGCCAATGGACATGAATCCCCCAACACACACACACACACACACACACACACACACACACACACACACACACACACACACACTTCAAACTCCACGGCCCCTTCACTCTGTTTTGCTTTAGGCTGGGAGGGTCTCAGTACTATCTGATCGGCTACACAGTCACTTCTTCAAGAGTTAGTGGCCCGCCTTCTCTTGCTAGAGGGTAAACGGGAGGCATGCCTGTCTTACTCTTAGTATTTTGTTCTGTGTTGGCACAGTGATTGGCGTACAGCAGACAGTCACCATAGGTTCACTGAGGAGAAATTAGGAGAAAGTTGGCTCAGAGGCTAAGAAACTCACCCAGTGAAACCAACAGCTCTCTCCTCCCTGTGGCTGACCCACGCTTCCCAGGTGGGGGGCTGCCGCCCCTCTACTCCCCTAAAGAAGTAGGGATGTGTGGAGTGAGACTACAAACCCAGGACCACAAGAGACCTTGAGGGTTTGGGGAGATGTCTGAATGGACAGGGGTATCATAGTTTTCAGAACTATGGATGAGAGGGGCTCAGCCTGCCTTGTGGACTCGATTCTGATGACTGAGTGCCTAGGCTGGCCCCACCCTCTACAGGTCAGAGGTCACACTCGTCCTGATCCTGCTGCTTCCAGGATGCCAACATAGCAGCTTCCAACTGCTGGTTCCAGAGGTCGCATTTGTAGGTCTCAGCGGAAGAGACGTGTTAGGAAGAGCACATGTTCACTCGCCCTACCAGGGACCCCTCTATAGCTCTACACTCCCCCTCCCCTCCCCCCCACTCCACTCACTCTGCCACTCGGTGATGGAGATCATGCTTCAGTCCACTGGGGGGCCTTCCTGATCAGCTGGCTAGTAGTGAGGCCAGAGGACCGATCCTGGGCATGTTCCTGGGAAGTTGACCCTTGGCAACAGTGAAGGAGCCTCTGGTAAATCATTAACTCCTGTCCTTCCAGTTCTCCACAAATGGCTACTTAAAGATACAGGCCTGTTGGGAAATTAACATTCATTAAGTCCTTTCTAGCCCAACTCCTTTGAACAGCTAGGACTGGACACAGAGAGGCAAGGTTCTAGGCCTGCCTGGGTTTCTCACCTGCTCTGGTAGAGAGTATGGGAAGAACTGGAATGCCCCCACACTTCTGCTTTCCTTAGACAGGGTCTCTAGTGGTTACTCTAGAACTCAGTAAGTAGACCAGGCTGGTCTTGAATTCTCAGGATGTGCTGGCCCTGGACTATAGCCCTGGGAGGCCTTGAACCGCAGCCACACAGTAGCTGGGAAGACAGACCTGCATGCCTCCCAGCATCAGCTTTTAGTCTAGCGCTTACTCCCTACTATGGAGTGGGGGCGTTGAAGAAAGGATCTTACCAGATAATACAGGTTGGCCCTAAACTCATTGTGTAGCCCAGGCTGGCCTCAAATTTGATCTCCTCCTGCCTCAGCCTCCTGAGGGATAAGATTACAAACCTGTGCCACCGTGCCTGACTTGTTTACTTATGTACTTGTGGGTTTTCTTTTCTGTATAAAATGACTCGACCTGCGATCCCAGCTACTCTGTAGGCTGAGGTTCAAGGCCTCCCAGGATTAGAGTTCAAGGTCAGTCTTAACTTAATGAGACCATGTCTCAAAATAAAGTATTTGAAAAGAATCCTTCTCCAGGGTCTAGCCTGGGCCGTGTAGACCTCACTTTGCACCAAGAAAACTTCTTTGCAACAGATGGAGACCATTACAGAAAGCCAAAACCAAACAAATGCAGAGTTGTGGAGTCCAGTCCCAATGGATGTGTTTACAAAACAACTTCCAAACCTTAAGGCTCAGAGAACATTGTGTGGGGGGTGGGAGGAGAGGAGTTGTAAGAACTAGATGATCATGGAGTTTGCTATGAGATTGTGTCTCACCAACATCACTGCCCCAAAATGAGTTAAACAAGGATAACACCAGTAGACATACTAACATGGATGGGGGGTGAAAGCCCACGAGGACCTGACCCTATACAAAGAACTATAAGCAACGAAGAAATGCTGAGAATGGGAGACATAGTCTTTCCCAGGAAGAGCACGCCAGTGGATTATTCAGTACCAAATGGTCAGCTCTGAAATATACAAGTAACACTGTACAGACTGAGCAGGCTATACTGATGGGTTTATGAGTGTGTGTGTGTGTGTGTGTATGTGTAATAATTATTGAAAAAGAGATCATGACTTTGAAAAGGAGGGGATTATGGGAGGATTTGGAGGGAGGAAAGGGAAGGGAGTAGGGTGGGGATAATGTAGTGTGTGTGTGTGTGTGTGTGTGTGTGTGTGTGTGTGTGTGAAAATGGCTGGGTCTGGGACTGGAGAGATGACTCAGCAGTTAAGGGCACTGACTGCTCTTCCAGAGGACCTGGGTTCAATTCCCAGTGCCCACATGGTAACTCACAACTGCCTGCAGCTCCTGTTTTAGGGGATCGGATACTCTTTTCAGTCTTCTGTGTACTGCACACACACGGTGCACAGAAACACATACACAAAACTCTCATACAATAGAACAATAACATTTTAAAATTAATTATGAGTGGCTGGATCTATTAATTACACAATGGTAGAATGCTTGTCCAGCATGCTTGGGGCTCTAGACTCAGTTGCTGGCTCAAGATTCCATTCCCCGGTACTGCAAACAAATAAAAACCCCAGGAAACTGTATATAACAAGAGAAACAGGGAAGTGACCCTGACTGAAGTAGGATGGACAAGAGGGGTAGATTAGAGACAAAGAGTGAAGAAGCCTGCGGTGGCTGCAGGGGACGTGGGCTGGGTGAGGCCATTGTCATGACACTGGACTGGATGATCTCAGACACATATTTGCCATGAGACGCCATCATTGCATCTGCATTTCCAAAGATCAACGGGCAACAGTGGATGGACTGAGAAGAGCAACCACGAGTGGATCCTTGGGACAGTGTCAGAGAAAGATAGAAAAACCGACATTTACACCAAAACATCTGAAAAGATGACTCTACAGACAAAGGTGCTGTAGAACTCATGTAAAGCTGCAGGGGGATAATTCCACAAAATTGTCTGGCCTCTGCACACAACGGAAACTTTAAAAATTAAGAGATAATGCTAGGTAGTGGTGGCACTCTGGAATACCAGCACTCTGGAAGCAGAGTCAGGCAGACACAGCCTGGTCTACAGGTTCCAGGACAGTCATGTCTCCAAACATCAAACACCAAACACCAAACACCAAAACCAAAAAAATTAAGGGGAAATGTAAAGAATGGCAAAAACATGAAACAATTTTTTAGTACTTTTTTTTGAGACGGTCTCACTCTATAGGCTGTCCTTCGACTTGATACGTAAACCAGGCTGACCTGGAACTCACAGAGATCCTCCAGCCTCTGCCTCCCTCGTGGCTGGTATTAAAGCGTGTGCCACCATGCCTGGCTTTCTTTTTTTAATGATTACTTTTAATTCCGTGCATGCCCTTGGGCGAGTCTGTGTGTGCACATGACTGCAGGTGTCTGTGGAACAGGGTGCCATGGAGCCGTGCTGTGAGCTGCCCGATGTGGGTGCCAGGAAGCAAATTCAGGTCCTCTGAAAGAGCAGTATGCACTCAGGCCCACCGAGCCGTCTCTCAAGCCCCCGAAGTAACTCCTCAAGCTTTTGTTATGAGACCTCCGTTAAAGAGAGCTCGTCGGTGATCCCGGGTGCTGGGCTCACCTCTGGCAGATACTTGCACCTAGTTTCTTTACTCTTCTGCAACACAACCTTGAAAGAACTCTCAGTTGCACGAACTGTTATAATACGTGTATGGCCAATACACAGAATGGGTTATTTGACAATTCTGAGACTATGTCATATTCCACTCAAGTTTCTTCACAATAACCTTGCTGAGCTGTTCATGAAGCTTTTTTTTTTTTTCCGAGACAGGGTTTCTCTGTATTGTTTTGGAGGCTGTCGGTCCAGCCTGGCCTCGAACTCACAGAGATCTGCCTGCCTCTGCCTCCCGAGTGCTGGGATTAAAGGCGTGCGCCACCACTGCCCGGCATGAAGCTTGTTTTTAAAAGCTTAAAATCTCACACAAACTTTTTAGTAGTATGATGAATCAACGTAGGGCCAACTTGTATGAGACATGCATTTTGGTTCATGCATGCACTCCAAAGTGGTTTGCAGAGGACTGGGGCAAGTCTTGTTTTTGGAAGCCTGTCCTGTGAAGTGTGGCAACTGAAAGCTAGCCTGTTTTACTATCCGTACTTGAGAAAAATGTGACTCCCTTGCAAATCTTCCAAACAGCCACTAGGGGGCAGTATGGCAGTCATTAAAATCCATGAACTCTAATTTAAAAATTTTGTACCTCAGGTTCTTGGCTAAGAATAGTACCTATCCCATGGGGAGGGGGTATCATGAGCATTACTATATCATGAGTAACTATACACCTGTACGTAGACCTGGGTACTGTCCCAGAGTAAGCACTTAATGAGTTATTGCTATTAATATTCTCATAGAGTTAAATTAATTACTATTAGTAGTCTTCTATTAATAGGTAGTCATACCCAAAAATTGTGGCCATAAACTGTTCCCAAAATGTATAAGACATAAACTATGGGGCTGGAGAGATGGCTCAGAGGTTAAGAGCACTGGCTGCTCTTCCAGAGGTCCTGAGTTCAATTCCTAGCAACCACATGGTGACTCACAAACATCTATAATGAGATCTGGTGCCCTTTTCTGTCCTGCAGGCTTACATGGAGTGCTGTATATATAATAAATAAAATCTTTTAAAAAAAGACATCAACTAGGAATACTATGTCATCACTCCCCTCGCAGGCCACCTGGGACCTCGGACAAATGAATTCTGAAGTGGACTTTCCCAGGCATGATTTTCCAGACACTGTAGCTGGGCATGCACAGCCCACCCTCCTGAGGAGGGCATTTACAAGGGCAACCCCAGGAAGGAGTCTGGCCATAGAAGGCCAGGCTGATGCCCAGCCTGTGGCTGCCTTCTCAACTAGCCACCTCGGGAAAGAGTGACACGCTTACTCTCTGGGGCTGCAGAACCATGACTGAGCAGAAGAGAGCACCCTGGAGGCTGGCCAGTCAGCCAGAGTGTCTTCCAGCAAAAAACCATAGGCTAGTGAGGGAGAACCTTATTAAACACTCACCTGTCCAGTCATCATGCCCAGCAGGCACAGAGGGACATTCTCAATGTCACCACTACACTGTCATGATGGTAAATGAATTCAAGTTTTTTTTAAAGATTTATTTATTTATTATGCATACAGTATTCAGCCTGCATGTATGTCTGCAGGCCAGAAGAGAGCACAAGATCTCATCATAGATGGTTGTGAGCCACCATGTGGTTGCTGGGAATTGAATTCAGGACCTTTGGAAGGGCAGTCAGTGCTTTTAACCTCTGTGCCATCTCTCCAGCCTGAATTCAAGTTTTCCAAGTGCTTTTTTTTTTAACCCACTTTTTTTTCTAGAGAACTTCTTAGGAGTAGTCACTGTTGTCAGATGAGAAATCCGAGGCTGCAGAATCCAGTCACCTGTCCAGATCTTTGCGCCAAGAACACCTCACACTGCATCACACTGGAGGCTCTCGACTAGTGGTTCTCAGCCTGTAAGTTGAGATCCCTTTGGAAGTTGACTGACCCTTTCACGGAGGTCACCTAAGACCTTTGGAAACACAGATATTTTCATTACAAGTTATAGCGGTAGCAAAATTACAGTTATGAAGTAACAACAAAAATAATTTTGTGGTTGGGGGTCAGCACAACATGAAGAACTGTATTAAAGGGTCTCAGCATTAGGAAGGTTGAGAACCACTGGTATAGAGGGATCAAGGGGTTGGGCATGGGCTAACATTGTCTGGAGCCTGCATGGACCAGCCACACCTAAGAAACAATCGCATGGTTCCAGAGCAGCTACAGAGGTTTTTGTGCCGTTTCCTGACTGCGGCCCTTACACACCCAACCTGCTTGGGTGGAGGGTTCATCTGAGCCAGGAGCAGCAGGCTACCGGTTGAAACCGCTGGGATGAAGTTCCATCTTCATCCCAGGAGAGGGGCAGCTCTTGTTTGTGGAGCCACTGATACTAGATGGAACTTTGTGACTGAATAGTTCCCAGCGGGTACCTGATGTGGCCCTGGTCTAATGAGGGCTGCAGATGGAGACTCAGGGTCCAGAATGTGACTAGCTCTCCCATGCACACCCACCTCCTCAGAGGAGTTTCCTTTTCAGTCTGAATTAAAAAAAAACTTATTTTCATTCGAGTGTGTGTGTGTGTGTGTGTGTGTGTGTGTGTATGCACATGTGCATGTAGATGATGCCTGCAGAGGCCAGGAGAGAGCACTGAATCCCTTGAAGGTGAAGTCACAGGCCGTTGTGAGCCACCTGATGTGGGAGCTGGGAACCTAATTCAGGCCCTCTGGAAGAACAACTTTCAACTATGGAATTATCACTCCTGCCCCCAATTGTTGAAGTTCTATTTTAATTTTTGCATTTTGTTTGTATGTGTGAGTACTGTAGGTGTGCTTGGTGCCCACAGAGGCTAGAAGAAAGAGGGCATTGGGTTCTTTAGAACTGGAGTTACAGTTGTGAGCTGCCATGTGGGTGCTGGGACCTGAACCTGGGTTCTCTGCAAGAACAGCAAGTGCTCTTAACCACTGTGCCATCTCTCTGGCCCCAATAATTTTTGCTTGATTGTTCTGTTTTGTTTTGGAGACAGGGTCTTGCTATATAGGCTGATTTCCGACTCGTGATCCTCCTGCCTCAGTTTTTCCAAGTGCTGTGATGGTAGGTGTGTGTTACTACACCTGCCCAAAGGTGTCTGCTTTAAGCCCATGTTTGGTCCTGACTTCCTGATTCACACATGATACCAGGTTCACAGCTCTCTGTGGATGTCACCAACCTACAGTACCCGCTAAAAAGGACATCCCTGCTCGTGCTGTAGGGGTGAGAGCAGGGTGTGACAATCTTAAAGGTAACTGCCTGGTTTGCTTGTTTTGAAGACAAGGCCCCTCTGTGTAGCCCAGGTTGGCCTGGAACTTTCAATTCTCCCACCTCCTCGTCCATGGGCTGGGATCACAGGTGTGCACTGTGCCCAGCTTCATTTGGCCTCTTGCGTCATTCCTCCCTCAAGGTTTCCAACGGAGGTTGAATAGAGCCCTTCACACTTGGCAAATGCCAAAGGCTGAGCCTAGAGAACTGAGGCACTCTTTCTGGTCCCCAGCAACCATGACCCTATGCACCCTCATGCTCTAAAAGTCAGGGAGCACCGTGCAACAATTGAGGAAGGTTGGGGTCTTTTCTTTTTCTATGATGCCTATGCCATCCATGTCAGAGGCAAACCAAGTGCCAGTGGAGAACCTGACGCTTCCATTACCCAAACCTCAGTCTGATGAGGCTAGCCCGCCACCGCCCCAGCTCCAGACTGATGAGGTTAGCCCACCACCTCCAGACTGATGAGGTTAGCCCGCCACCGCCCCAGCTCCAGACTGATGAGGTTAGCCCGCCACCGCCCCAGCTCCAGACTGATGAGGTTAGCCCGCCACCGCCCCAGCTCCAGACTGAAGACACTCTACTGGGAACTCTGAATACTTGCTTGGAAGGAAGCTGAGATGTGCAGCAGAGGTGGTGACAGGGAGGAGTTGTCACAGGTGTTGTGCTTGTCCCAGCCCCTCAGCCCTGCTCCCTTTTCCCATCATGTCTGTAACCTGTGGACCCCCAAGGGCAGGGCAGCAAAAGGCCAACACGGATGCAGAAAGGTACACACTCACACCATAGGTACAAACCATTCAGTTTATTTCCGGTATTGATTTATACAAACTTGCAAGATACAAATGCAGAGCTCATTGGGATTCTTTAGTACCTAATCTAGTAAGATTGCCACTGGAAGGAGGGAGCAAGCTCTCACTACCTCAGCCAGGCGCCCCCTTCTCCAGGGGAGGGTGATCGGCTAGACAGATGCTCAAGGGATGCTACAGCCATGTGGTCCCAACAGAGATGCTGTTCATCTAACCTTAACTCTTCGTCTAAGGTCACTTTCATACTAAATAGAGACACTGAGATAAGTTTCCTTGTATGGTTTATTGTCTAACACTAGCAAATCAAATTGGCCCCAAATATGCGCATAAATAGATATGTATATATATTTTTATATAGTATTTTCCTTAGTTTTAAGAGCTGCCAGGAGGAGGGTGCCTGATGGGAAAGGAAGGGATTCCATCTTAAAAGTAGCAGCCCTGACCCCAAGAACATGCCTTCCATAAGGCAGGAGAGCACACTTGCTGTTTGCAAGCTTGCTTCCCCAGAAGAGTCTTTAAAGTGACAGTAGCAGTATTTGATCGCAGCCTCTTGTTTTTTGGTGGAGGAGGTAATGTGTTAATTGGGAAGGCCCTGTGTGGGTGGCCAGGACTTTCCCCAGAGGGGTTCTTAGTCCTAGGCTTATGCCTGGGCCCTGTTCATTCACAGCAAGAGGCTTGAGGCTGGGAAGAGGGCCAGCAAATGCCGGAATTGGAGGTCCGGTGTCAAAGGCTGGCCAGAGTGCTGTAAAATTCCCAAACACATCATTTCAGATAGGGGTGGGGGTGAGGACTCCATCCTGCCCAAGTCCTTGCCAGGCTAGAACCTCCTAGCTCACTTAACCTGTCAGAAAGCAATTTGGAAGGCTGACCTAACACAGGCCAGAACTGCAGCCCACAGCCTGTCAAAGCACTGAGGGTTTCTTCTTGGGAAAGACTAAGGTGTGACATTTGATTGTGGGGCCCTCCACAGCCAAGAATGAGGCTTCAAGTCTGGATGCCAGACCAATGTGCCATAATGACTCCCAGAAAGAAAAGTCCTAGAGGGAGACGGTTGCCACGGAGTGGGTTCAAGAGAAAGTGTGGGGGAGGCCCAGGAGCTCAGAGTATTCACCAAAGAACACAGAGGGTCCCAAGTCACCATCTCTGGGCTTCACCTTGCGTCTTGGGTCTGTCAGGGCGCAGACTGACATCCTTCAAGCTGGCTACATATGCTGCCAGAGACCTGTTGGCTTTCTCTCAGGGGTGGTTCAGGAGCCCATGGGAGTACCGCATGTCTGCAGTTGTAAACATTTCCTTCAGGAGACCCACAAGCCTGACAACCCAGTGAAGTCAAATTCTTAGACCAGGACTTTCAAAGGAATGTCCTGCCATGCAGGATAGAGTCGGGATGAGCCTGGGGACCAGCCCTTTGCCATGACTGGACAACGGGAAGGAAATCACTGGAGCCGAGGGAAGGACATAGACCCAGCCTAGGGACAGCCACCTCAGTCTCCTCGCACATTGCACATTTTGAAAGTAGATCTGCCTTTAAACAAAAGCATAAAATAGGTCTGCCTTAAAGTAAATCTTTCCTCCCCTTCTTTGGATCAAAAAGGCAAGGGACATGGTATCAATATACTAACAATGGCACGCACAGAAAACGGGTCGGGGCAGGAGCTGAGAAAGGACTGACATCCAGACAAATATATATGCAGGTATATATTACATGGGTGTCTATGACATGATCACTTCCATAAAACACATATTAAGGCATGTAAAGCAACATAAAGAGCCAGCTTTATGAATACGGGGTGAGGGTGGTGGGAGAGGCGCAGATGTTTCTTGGTATTTTACATGTATTTCTAAAAATACCACTTTAAAAAAAGGAGAGACAAACATAGGGGAAGCCCTAAAAACTTTGTTTCTTGTGGAAGAGGCTACGGGGAGAGAGGCTAAGCTGGGAGCTAGACCCACCTATCATTCTTTAAGGAAGAACAGGCATGGTTTGGGTGCTTGGACTGTGTAGAAAGGGAATGTCACCAAGGAGCACTTTCCAGGAGCCTGACAGGGTAAATAGAGGTGGAATCCTCCCCATCTGGAGTCCCTCAGAAGCAAGACAATATCCTAAGCACCTAAAACAGTACCTGATACACAAAAAGTGCTTGACTAGTATTTGTTGAATGAACTGTCATCTTTACTTGCATATGAACCAGTAACTGTCTCAGCCGTGAAGGAGCAGCGATGGGATTTGATATGGTTGTGTCTTGGGACCATCACTGATGCTCAGGCTGAAGGCTGTGGGCAGCAACTCTGGCAGGGCAGGCCTGGAGACCGGTGTCTGCAGTGGCCTTCCTTCACTGCCCTCTGGTAGGTGGAATAGAGGAAGACTATACCGTGCTCTCATCTCGCCATGTCTTGTTCTCCCTGGGTAGGTGGGCCATAAGAAAACCCAGCCTCTGATCTGGCTCTGGATGCCTGAGATGAGGAGTAAGGACCTAGAACCCGGACTCACACTTAAATCCCCATTCCTTCCTCCCAGGGCTAAACCTCAGCTGACTGACAGTACTCTCCAGGTTTGAATTGGTCAAGAAACTGGCTGGGTAAGGCCCCAAAGCTGACAGACAGACAGTAAGACAGTCCTCTCTGTCCACGACCCTAGGAGAGAGACTAACAGGCCTTGACACAGATGGGCCGTCTCCCAGGCCATCTCCCCCAACATCCTCTTCCTCCACACCTTGCTACCAAGCCCCTCAGTTGGGGCTAATGTGTGCCTGGCGAGTGTTCCTGGGGCCACCTGCTCCTCAGGAAGACGTGAAGTACATAGGTGACAGTCAGGCCCTCTGCTTGGCACTAGCCTAAGGCTCCACTCTAGGGAAGCCATTCTGACTCTCCCTTCCCATTTCCCTCCATCCTTACATCCCTGCTGCTTGTAGAAAGCTTCCAACTTTCTCTTCCTTCAGTCTCCAAGTTTCTCTCCTCTTCCGTCTGCTCTTGCTTCCAACTTGCCCTCAGACACTGCACAGACCTGCTGCCCTCAGACACTGCACAGACCTGCTGCCCTCAGACACTGCACAGACCACACCCGACCCTCCAGGAGCCCAGGGGCCTTCTCCTAGCAATTATCACCTTCTCTTTGGCTCAGGCAAGGCTGCTGGCCTCCAGGGAACTCTGGGAAACCCATCAGCAGAGCCGTGTCAAAGCCTTGGGCATCGCTGAGCAGCTGAGGCTGAAGGGGAGGAAGATGATGGCAAGAGTTGGCCTCTCACTGTGTTGCTGTGTTGTGTGGGTTCCAAGGGAAAGAGTCTGTCTCGTTTTCACTTCTAGTCCTCACCCATAGCTGAGGGCATGCTCCCCACCAGGACTCGGTCTCCATCAGGGGATGGTGCCGGAGGGCCACACAATGCCATCCGGAACTGCACTCGAGCTCCCTGTGACTTCCTGGGGCATCATAGAGGATGACACCTTGGCCTTGCCATTCCAGGTCTTGCCTTAGAACCATGATGACAGTGCAGGCTTCAGGGCAAGGGCAGCAGGTGCGGATTTCAAGGCATCCACGCCCCTTTCTAAGCCCCCAGTCTGGCTCTCCGAGGCATTCCCATGGTGGGCGCAAAGGCAGGAGGCCAGGATGAGGAGCCAGAGTCCCAGGTGTGCTATCAGAAGGTGGCCCTGTGGAGCTTCACGGCATTGGCCTCAGCCAGGGCTTGCACTGAAAAAGAGAGAAGCCGGTGAGAAGGGAACACAGGGGTACAGCCGGACAGAATGGAAGGGGAAGAAGTCGGGTTCTTTCCCATTGCTGATGCAAGGCTCTGTGCTGCCAGGGGAGGGAAGAGCAAAGCCAGGCTCTAACACTTCCCCCAGCTACATTAATGTCTGAGAGTGGGGACTCAGCTTCTAGGGGCTTCTTAGGGTTCTGTGGCGGGATTGCCATGTATCTCAAACGATGGAAGCCAATTAGCAGACGGGAAGTACAGGGTGGCAGGTCCAGAGGTAGGGGGCCAGGGAAGAACCTTCCCGGGCAGCAGACAGGCGTGGACTTGGCACCATTCCCTTCTGCTTGCAAAGAAGCAGAGTCATTGGCATCGCCATATCTAAGAAGCGGCACTACCAGCCAGCCACCTGCAGCCAGTACTGCTTGGAGACATTGGTGGCTCAAGCGGACAAATGGAGGGGGACACTGCACACAGGGCACCAGGGTGGGGGAAAGCAATGAGAGGGCATTGATGGCTCAGTGGGGTGAGGGAAGGGCCCCCCTCCCTGGGGGTGCGTGAAATACCGTAGAAAAGTGCTTACGTCAGAGCTCAGACCCGCATGGTATGGCTGCTGTCGGCGCCCCGTGGGCGTTCAGACGATAGGGGGTTGACTGGTGGAGTCGGGGAAGCAGGGGAGGTGGGAGGGCTTGGGGTGGCACATTGCACTGGAAACAGAAATGAACAGGGCAGTGAATAGAAGACAAAGGGTACTGGGGAGGAGACTGGGCACCCAGAGCAAGGCAGGGAGGCAAGCAGAGAGAGAGAGGGCTGGGCTGGGGAGCTTGCTCAAGCAGAGGCAAAGCTGTCTTTATTCCCAGGGTGCAGCGGAGGACAGTGAAGCCCCAGAGGAGACCTGGCCAAACCCAGGCTCTGCTAAGAGTCAGGGTGACGGGGCACCAGGCTGCATCCCGTTCTGGGACAAAGACTCCCTTCCCATCCACACTGGGAGAGTCATATTGCCCTCTGTGCAGACAGAAAGAAGGTGTGTCACTTCACATCATCTATGGCAGTTTCACTCATGATAATGATTAACAGTGCAGTAAAATCACATCAGGCCACAGCGTTGGGTCCCCACTTAACAGAGAAGCAGGACAGCCACCATGATAATCATTTCCAAAGAACATGGTTTCCCAATAGGCATAAAACCATCTCTGTCAACTTTGGTGTGACCAAGGGCTCAGAAGTAATACCCACAATCACCAGAGACGCTGCTCTGACCAAGCCAGCCGAGGACCTCCAGTCCTCTCGTGAACAATCGTTTTAAACTTTAAAATTGTGACATTTGGACTGATGAGATTTTACTCTATCATCATTATCTCATGTGAAGACCAACAAAGGGGCAAGGCAGCAACAAGGATGGTCCTCCAAGTGGCCACTAGACTCTTGCACATCCTCAGCGGAGCCGAGGCGGAAGGATGGCAGAACGTCCTCACTTGGGCTCAGAGAGGAACCAGACCTCAGCCAGGAGTCACGCTGCATTTCCAAGATGTGACATTAAACTTCCAAATCCCGCTCCCCACCCTGGTATCACCTTCTCTGACTTCTGTGCAACACTGGACCCATGTGGCTCCTACTATTGCGATGGGCATGTCCCCAAGTGTGTTCATAGCTCAGGTTGCTCAAATGGATGTGAGATCATGTCTACCCCACATACAGCCATTTGTGCCTGGGATCTGGCAACACCACATGGTTACGCTCATTTGACACAACTTACACGTGTGCTTTTGCACTTTCAAGCTTCAGTGTTTCCATATGACCCAACGTCCTTGTCACATCATAGGCAAAAACACAAACGCTTTCCAACACACTCACATGCATGTCCAAATCGCTAAAGGAGGGTCACTTACGGGCCGTGTTCAGATTCTAAAACAGTCAAAGACCCAACAGGTAGGCAGGGAGGCTCCCTGGGAAGCCAAAACAGATATTATAACATCTGCTTAGTGAAGCTCTTGCTTCACTAAGGAGGAGTCCTGCCATTATTATTCACAATTCTAATAGGTGTTGACCTATCGGTGTTCTGATCCATAGGAAACAGGGACTAGAAAAGGGAGAGAGGGGGGGTTGAAAGCCGCCGTGTAGCTCTAAGAAGGCACAAGTGAAGAGAATCCCTTTTCTGAGAAGTAAAGGTAACATGGAAGTTACAGAGCCCACATTTAGTTACAGAGAGAGACCCACAGAGGGCTTGCTCCTGGGGGCATGCCTTCAGCAGAAGTCAGCAGCATAAGGATATTGAGAGCAGAAACTGAGGAAGGAAAAGGCAGTTATGTGGATGTTATCTCTCTAAGGAAACAGACCTGCTTCATATATATCAGGACTGTATCCACTGAAGCAAGTTAACTTCAAATGTGTAGCAAGCACATAGTGGGCAGATGTGGTGCTACAATGTATGTTCATCTGCATGCGTGAGAGGCCATACACACTTCTGAGTACACCCATCTCTCACCTTGTACACAGACTTGTTCACGGTGCTACAGAGTGCACGCTGTGCACAACATACGGGACAGGCCTCAGTCATTCCTGACACATGTAAAGCCAGTCACTCATAAATATGCATGTTCACAGATGTCTTCTCCACCCGCATACCGTGCACTCACTTCACACACACACACACACATACACACACACACACACGCACGTGTACACACATACACGCGCACGCATGCACACAAAATGCATTCTTACATTTGCCCTCAAACATTTCTTCCACCTACATACCAGTCATCTGAACACACACATCTGCAAACATTACCAGATACAGTGTACACGACATCTGTGCCAAGTACACAGACTCGGAAACGCCACCTCTTCTCAAATGGAACATACTGAGTCAGCATGTCGCAGCCAGCGAGACTTACACGAGAGCACTCTTCACCGGTTATGCTGTCCACGAAACACTCACCCTTTTAGCTCTACATACCATGCCTGCTGTTCTAGGACCAACTGTCCTCCCTACCCGTGTCCTGGGTATGAACCTACGCCCACACTGCATGTGCCCAGAACTAGCTCTTGCTCTGGGGCCTCTGGGCCAGGGGCCAATGACAGCAGGGACAGCGGGCTAGGTCTGAGGTCTGGCCCTACCATAGCCACATTTTGAATCGTTGGGGGTTTTGGCAAAAGCACAAGGACTATTTGCTTTCAGCACACAGACCCTGAAATGTAAGCCCATATGTTGTCAGGGAAAATCTGATAGGCCCTAGAGGTTTGTTTTCACGAAACCTGGGCTGTTGGGTAACAATGGAGAATGGGCTGTTGGGTAACAATGGAGAAAGCCAGGTGCGTGGCAGGCCAGAGGGGAGTTTTTAAACATCGTATGTGCTGCCCTTCTGAAATAGGAAGTGCCTTTTGCCCAAAGCATGTGGGATCTGGTTCAAGTTCAATTTAGGTTCAAGTTCCTTTAGTGACTAAATACGGAGAGGTCACAGGAGGTCTCCCTGCCTGCAGCCAAACTGGTTCTGCTGCCTTAGCTGCAGGAACGGAGATGGTCCCTCCTGGCCCTCAGTACCAGTCTGTGGAGAGTCCGGCACTGGAGCACCTGAGCCTCCGGTGCTTCTCCGAAGTCCATCGCTCCCTACACGACAGCAGGCTCTCCGGGTTTAGCTGCTATCTTCCTTGCTGTGACTTACAGCCCTCTGGTTGTGGTGTGCACACGTAACGTGAGAAACAGGACAGAGGGTTCTCAGCTTCAGCTCTTACTGACTCAAACAGCTCTCCCACATGGCAGCACTGCCGTTGTCACGGCACCCCAGCTCTGTGCAAGGGGCTGCCACCTGCTGTTTCGGCCCTTGCACCGTCTGAACTGAAGGCAGTGAGGAAGCAGAAGCTCGGGGTGCCATCTGTCACCAACACACAGCACCGTCCCTTCCTCGGCGCTCCTGCTTCCATCCTTGTTTGCTTGCTCCTGCCTCGTCAGGACTGCCGTAACCAATGCAACCTGGCCGCTCTCATTTCTACCGGTCACCTCAAGTTAGGGCTGATTTCATGCCATTCCTCCTAACTGTGGCCACCAAAGTTCACACTTGGTGGGCGTGTTGGTGCACACCAATAATCCCAGCACTCAGGAGCCTAAGCAGGAGGATCAAGGGTTCCAGGCCAGGCTGGGCTACATAGCCAGACCCTGTCTCAAAAACAAAACAAAATTAAATGTTCCTACTCTGTGCGGATGAGCTAACTACTGCCTTGCCTTCCCCTCCTCCCATTCAGACAGACTGCCGTCATTCAAAGCCCAGCTCGCCTGTGGAAGCTAATCCTGGGGAGCTCAACACTAAGGTGTCTAAGTGGGACTTCTGTGCCAGGGTGAGTCACTTCTTCCTTGTCTCTTCTTAGCTGGAAAGTGCCAAGGTGGAGAGGGAATGGCTCTCAGGTCCTTGGCTGCTTGCTTTGTCATCTTGTAGCAAGGAGGAAAATCAGACGGAAACCTGAACACCTGGCCTTCTCACCCCTGGGGGCAAACACGCCTATGCTTCCCTAGGGGGCTCCAACCACTTCTCTTCTCCGTGTCTTTCCAGGGGCAGATGGCTGCGAGCTCCCTGCAGCCTCTGACTGGAGGTCAGCCACTCTGGCCCCTTTGCACTGAGCCTAGCACAGACCTGGCAGCTTTAGTGAATGCTCAGTGTGACCCCGAGGGCCGTCTCCCTGACCTGGCATCTCTCCGAGCCTGCACCCCAGGCAGAACTGCGCTTCCTCCCCTACACCTGGTCAGCGTTGTCCCTGGCAGAGCGAGGCCCAGCCCCTCTCACCAGACAGCATGCGGCCCCTGCGGGAGGCCTCGGTCGCCAGGGCACAGGAGATTTCAATCCGCTTCTCCTGCTCCTGCAGCTGGCTCTCTGAGTCCTGGGGCACGTCCACAGAGTCCCCCTCGCCGATGGGCACCACGTTCTGCATACTGAAGAGGCACAGACACACAGACATGGAGGGAGGGACAGCATGGTCCAATTGGCTTGGGGTGGCCTGCAGCTGAGGTTGGTGGGGAGGGCCAGGGGCCTTTGTGTGTGCAGCCTCTGTGCCCAGCAAGGCTGTCCCTAGAAGCGGGGGAGACCCTGGAAAGACTGTTGGGACCCCTACCCTCAATGTTTTCAAATGAATTTCCGAAGGTTCAAGTAAACATGTGGGCAGCCTTGAAGTGGTTGGGGGGCGAGCAGAGGTACCCTCCAGTTTGTGCACAAGCCCAGCAGGTCTTTCTGGGGCCCAGGGGCAGCATCCTCATTTCTGCCAGATGCCTGGATATAGTCTGCTGCCCCTGGCCACTGCTTGTGTTTTCTCTACCCTGGGAAGACAAGGTGCCTCCAAGACATCTGGTACCCAAGGCGCCTGGGTGCAGGGAGGGGAGTGGCGTGGAGGCTCGTCTAGGCCTGTCACCTGGACTTGGCGATGAGCGTCTTGATCCTCTCCACTTTCCTCTGCTTCTCCTTCAACTCCTCGGGGCTCAAGGGAGTGTCCGGTTCCAGGTCAATGTACCGTTCGGGAATGAGGACTTTGTCTGGAGTGGAGAGCTGTGAAGGGCCTGAGGTAAATTACCACCTGCATCCCCTCCCTGGCCACCACCCTCCCTCAGCCTCATCCTGGACCCACTCACCTCCTTACTGATGTCCACATCGTAGTGCTGGGGCTCCAGCTCCATTCTGCGAAGCCGGGCAATTTCCTCCCGGGGTGTCTCATAGGCCTGGCCACCAGGTTCCTCAGCCCTCAGGGCTGCCTCCAGGTTGGAGATGTCTACTTCGTGGATGCTGCGGTGGCGGCGCACCTAGGGGATAGCACTGCCATGACCAAATCACTTCTTCCTATGTCTCCCTCCAGGCAAGTCTTACTATTCCTGTATCCTTGTCCCCAGCCAGCATCCTTGGTCAGGCTCTCACTGGCCTGCAATGCAGACCCTCCTCCTTGCTCTCTGCTTCTCTGCACCTGCCTACAGCGAGGCCCAGGGGGACGATCTCATTAGTATCTCCTGTCAGTGCTCACTCCTGTCCTTACAGTCTGTACTGAACACCTGGGGCAGTAGAAGCAGTGGGTCCCTCGTTGATTTCTAACAGTTTCATGTTATGGAAGTTCTGACCTATCAACTTGAGCAAAACTGTATGAAGGTAGGGTTTTCTTCTCTATTTCCGAAACTTATTGTAAAGAAAAGTTAAGTAGATGCCTTGGCTACATACCCTTACCTACACCAAGGCTACACCTCTGTACTTACAGCTGTGAGACCTAGAAAGCTCTTTGTTTCTCTTGACTTGACTTCCCTATCTATAAAACAAGGGTGGCAAACTTGAAATCACTGCCGTCACTGATGGGGTTAAAGAAAAAATAGATGGTTCCATGGAGAGCACTGCTCAGGGAGCTACCATGGCTGTCTTCAGGGTACCCAGGCCATCACATCACCCCCTGCCCACAGAAGACATCCAGAATCACATAAAAGTGATGGCTCTTTCTACATGATGAAATTTGCACTATTATATACCAAATTAATTTTTTCTTTGTGTGTGTGTGTATGAACACATGCATATATAGTATGTGTAGATGGGTGCTTGTTGAGGCCAGAAGAGGGTTTTGGATCTCCTGTAATTAGAATCACAGGCAGTCGCGAGCCATCTGATGTGAGTGCCAGGAACTGAACTCCAGTCCTCTGCAAGAGCAACCAGTGCTCTTAAACACTGAATGAGTTTTTGATACTTTGTTTCAGCAAAGCCATCCAGCATTTCTTTTTCTTTTTCTTTTTTTTTTTTTTTGGCATTACTTTTCATTAAACATAAAGAGGAAACACGGGCTGAAGGAATTCTATGCAGGGAAGTATCCCAGGAGCCCTGCTAGGTTCTCCTCAGTCTTCTCTCTCTTCAAGCTCCCTGGCCCAGGCTGGCCATGGGCTGAGAGCATGGGTGTGGACGGATGGCAGACTCAGGCCTGCGGGCAACTGAGGGGACATTACCACTTTGTAGGCAGGCCGGGTGCTAGGTTCAGGGGCCGGGCTGGCTGGAAGCTGCAGGCTCCTCCGCTTTTCCTTCATGGAGCCGCTCTGGTGCCGCCTCATCCGGTCAATCTGCTCCTCCACGCTCATCTTTGCTTTGCCCTCTCCAGGGAATACAGCACTCTTGGGGCGTTCTTGCTGTTGGGAGGGAACACGGCTCTGTCAGGCATTCCCCGCCCCACCACATTTCCCATCTCCCCAAGGGCTCAAAATAGTCCTTCTGTAGGTAGCCTGCCCATAGGGGGCTGAACAATGGTCCCAGAAAAATATGTCAAATTTGTTCTGGCCCCGGGTGCCTGCAAATGCGATTTTATTTGGAAACGTGAGATCATCCTGAATCAGAGCTGACTTGGATCCAATAGCAACTGTCCTTGTAAAAGACAGAGACGATGACAACACAGAGCAGAAAGAGGGTGACGAAGATGGAGGCAGAGGCCAGAACGATTCATCTACATGCAAACAAATGCCAAGTGGATTAGCGTGATCCACATACAGGAGGGAGGCCGGGCGGACCCTCCCTTAGCACTGCCAGCAGTGCCCAACCCTGCCAGCACCTTCATTTTGAACTCCACACACAAACGAAGAGCAGATCTCTGTTGTCTTAAGTTACACAGTACATGGTGATTTGTTGCGGGAGCCCCGGGAAACCTGTAAAGACTGGGATACTAGGAAATGGGGTGCTAAGAAACACTTAGCATGATAGAAGAGACTTTGAGATCAAGACACGGGTAATGGCTGAGAGGATTTCGAGGTGAATACTGAGGGGGAAAATCCTAAATTTCACTGGTAGAAACAGATACTTCAAAATGATTCTGGTGAAGGAAAGAGAAGATAAAAGAAGAGAAGCTGGACATGGTGGTGCACGCCTTTTATCCCAGCACCCAGGATGCAGAAGCAGGAGGATCTCTGTGAGTTCAAGGCCAGCCTGTTCTGCATAACAAATTCTAGGTTAAGGGCTATATAGTGAGGCGCTGGCCATAAAATAAAAGTAATAAAGGAAAAGCAGGAGACGGTTTCTGTTATCTTAGAATTTATACCACAAAACAGGAGGCAGAGAGTTGGCTCAGTGGGGAAACAGGTGCATGAAGACTTGAGTTTGAATTCCTAGAACCCACACACACATGCAATCCCAGTGCTCCTATGATGAGATGGGAGGCAGAGACAGGAGAATCTCCAGGAGCTTGAGGGCTGGCTAGCCTGGGGTATGCATCAGCAAACAAGAAACTGCCTCAAACAAGATGGAAGGCAAGGGACAACACGGAGTCCTCTGACTTCCACATGTGCACTGTGGTGGGTGCAGTGTGCCTGCACTTACACACACACACACACACACACACACTGTACATACTCATCATACACATGCACCACACACCACACACTACACAATACACACATCACAACACATTACACATTCACATCATATATACACACATCACACACACCATACATGTTCATCATACACCACATACCACTACATCACACAATACACACATCATATACACATTAAACACACACAATATACAATACATCATATACACACACGTCATACATACAGATTTCACATACACCATATACACACACCACACACATATCATAAAATTGCAGAAATATGGCTACATGTGCTTCACTGTGGGATGGAAAGCAGAACTGGTGAGCAGTCTGTTTGGATATTTAGCTGGAAAGATTTCCAAGCAGAATGTTGTAAAGTTTGACTAGAGCAGGGCAGTGGTGGCACAGTCGGGAGGCAGAGGCAGGCAGATCTCTTGAGTTCTGAGTTCAAGGCCAGCCTGATCTACAGAGTCAGTTCCAGGACAGCCAGAGCTACACAGAGAAATCCTGTCTTGCAAAGCAAAACAAAACAAAACACAAAATAAAAGCAGAAAAAGAAAAGAAGGAATGAGAAGAAACGTGTGACCAAAAAGAAATTGGCAGCCACTGGTAAGGAAGAACACCGTTTAAGAGGACCAAGGACATCTTGCTGAAAAGATGAAGACTGATGATCTAATCAAGCATCTCGGGAACCAGAAACAGAGATGGGCCACCCAGGAAGGCTCTGAAGTGACCCCGCCAGGGACAGCTCAGAGTCTTTTAAATCCAGCAGGGCCACCTGTGCTTGAGAATGCTACCAGGCCACTTTGTGGATACAATGAGGATGTGGAGAAAAAGCTATCAGATTCCTTAGGTGGTTCGGGCAAGAAACTGGCTAACAGAGCTTCTTAGCTGCAAATATCAGCTACCCCCTCAAGAGAAGGCAGGCTGGCCCTGAAAGAAAGATCAGTGTGGCACCAAGGGCTGGTGGAGCCTTTATCCACACATCCACAGGACAGTGAGCCCCAGAAGACTGTCCTTAGGCTGTGGGACCTGAGGCTATAGCTTAGAGGTACAGCATTTGGCCAGCACACACAGGCTCTGGGGTTTGATCCCTGGTACTGGCAAAACAACAACTTGCTTGAGGCTGGAGATCCTTCTATCGTAATTTCTCTTTGGGGACAAGAATGATCCTTGGGGCCAGGGAGCTAGCTCAGCAGGTAAACACTAGCCGTGAAAGCCCAATGACCCAAGTTTGATCCCTGGAACTCATGTAAAAAGCTGGATGTGGTGGCAGTCACCTGTAATCCCAGCACTACTACCAGGAAATGTGAGGCAGAGACAGGAATCTTCTGGACGTTCACAGCCCAGCTAGCCTGGCCTGTATAGTGCAGCAATAGGAGCGAGGGAGACTCTGCCTAACAAGATGGAGGGTGAGAACTGATTCCTATAAGTTGTCCACTCACCTCCATGGATGTGTTATGGCACACACACATGCACACATGCATCCACACACACGATGAAAAAGTAAATAAATTCTCAACAAAGAAAGATTATCGTATGCAATTATACTTTAGAAGCAGATTAACTTGGAAGAATTCTGCCCCATAATAAACATGATCTAGACTCTAGAGTCCCCTATACACCTGTTAGACATGATTCTGATGATGAATTAAGGGACTTATCTTTTTTTGTGTGGGTTGGGGGTGCATGAGTACACACATTTGTGTGAGCATACAAACACTTGTGCCCGCATGTGTAGAGACTAGAGATTGATTCCAGTTGTCTTCCTCCACTGCTCCTCACCTTTCTTTTTGAGACAGGGTCTCTCACTGAACCTGGAGCACACTGTTTTGGCTAGACTGGCTGACAGTTCCCTGGAGTTCCCTGGATATACCTGTCTTTACACCCCTGAAGGTAGGGAGGGTTACAGGAAAATGCCTTCATGCCTGGCTTTTACATGAGTATTGGGAATCAGGTCCTTATACTTGCAAAGCAAGAACTTTACCCTTCTCTCTAGTTCTGTCTGTCTTTGTTTCTTGAGACAGGATCTCATTCTATACTCTAGGCTGGCCTAGAACTCACTGTGTAGCCTCAGCCTCTAGAGTCCTGGGGCTATAGGCATGAGCCATTGTGCCTGGTTGGAGATGTGGGACTTCTGAACTAATAATAGATGAGATTTTAGTATGAAGGTTAATAATGTCATGAGTTGAGATTTTGGTGCTCCTGGAATAGAATGAGTACTTTTTCAAGTGGAATGGCATGAAATTTGTCACTCTAGTTGTTAACTAGTGATCCCCAAAAGATATGTCTAGACCATAGCCCCTTATGCCTGGGACTATGCCCCTTTTTGGAAACAGGTTTCTACAGTTGTAATTAGGAATCTGAAGTAGAGGTCATTATGAATTTAGGGACTCAAAATCCAATGAGGAGTGTCCTTGTAAGAAAAGGATAGGGCTGGAGGGATAGCTCAACTGTTAAAGGCTAGTCTCACAACCAAAAATATAAGAAAAGGAGAGGACTCCAGGTGGTGGTGCATGCCTTTAATCCAGCACTTGGGAGGCAAAGGCAGGCGAATCTCTGTGAGTTCAAGGCCAGCCTGGTCTACAGAGTGAGTTCTAGGACAGCCTCCAAAGCTACAGAGAAACCTTGACTCAAAAAGCAAACAACAACAAAGAAAGAAAAGGAAGGGACACACAGAGATGGCGATGTGAGTGCTCTGATGGACACTAAGCCTGGAGAGAGCCATGGGACACATTCTCTAAGGTTTCCAAAGGAACCAACATTGGTGGCGCCCTGACTTTGGACTTCTGGCCTCTGAACTGGGAGCATAAAGCTGTGTTGTTTTAAGCCACTAGGTGTGTGTGCCAATGCGTTAATTCCCAGGAGCCCTAGGGAACTAAGAGCACGCTGCACTCTGACCTCTGTCCTCCCTGCTACATTCTGCCAACAGCATGCTCTGACAGTGTTAAACACTCTCAAGTATTTACCGTGCGCATCTTCCGTGACCCTTGACATGTCTATGAAGGACCATTCTTCCTCCCTCGCCCTTCCTCCCGTCCTAGTTCTGGTCTTGAGGGGTCATGACCACTGGGCACAAGCCCTCAGAGTCTGCAGGCGGGCACTTACCCGTGAGGAGAGGCCGTTGGTGAGGCCATTGGTGGTCCTCCTCACCACTGCTGACGGAGTCACCTCTTCTTCAGCAGGAGATTTCGTCCGAGGGGGCACGATGCCAACTATAGTGACAGAGAGCAGCCAGTGGGCCTTGGGGGAAGCAGGGGCCAGAGCATCTGCTCCTTGGAGAGTGGCCTGGTGGCTCTCCCTGCCGAGGCTGAGGGTGGGCGAGCACCCTCCCCCAGCATAAGGGAGTACCTCAGCCTTACTTAGGCGAGTGTGGGCTGAGACATACCTTTGTTGAGAGCTGCCTGTTTCTCTGCCTCCACCTCTTGTCTGGTGGGCACGAGGCTGATGTCTCTGGGGGTGTCCAGGGGTGATGTCTGGTCGGGGTCTCTCTTGTTTGGCTCATAGCCTGTTTTGGGCTGGGGAGGAGGGATGAGAAGATGGCTGATGTTAGGGTGAAGCTAGAGATCTGGCCTCCTTAGTGCCTTCTTTCAAATCCTTTAAGACAGAGAGCAGGGAAATTGCACAGGTGCCACCTAATAGTGGGCAGGATGGCTCTCGCCCATGTATCATAGACTGTGCTCTCTTGGAGATGAGAGCGGGGGCGGGGGTCGTTTTGGGCTAATCAGAGATCCCTGCCCAACCCAGGTGTCTTGGGAAGCTTGAAGACGCACACACTGTCTGTGGGCTCTGGGTCAGAGGAGGAGTCACCAGAGGGGACTGCAAATCCTGAGGGTCCTGCGAGGATTCATGCAGACTAGGCAAAAAGAACCAGGTGGCCTTGATACCAGGATGCCAGGAACATGAAAAAGGCCTTTGCTTGAGGGTTTCCAGAGCCATGAGGCCTCAGACAGCCTCTGAGCAACTTTTCCTATTGTACAATTGAAGATTCTAAGCCCCATAGGACATTCAGCGAATAAGAAATAAGGCTAGAGTCTGAAACTGCGGCGATCAGCCAGTCAGAAGCCTGGGCCATAGGTGAGTCTTGTCCATTTCTTGGTGCAACAGCTACAGGAGATGGCAACTATTCTGCCTGTCTCACTGGCAAGGCCTCAGCTACACAAGCTACATACAACCAAGTCTGGATAGAATATGGGTCCCCCTATAACATACGACCAGCTTAAGTCTAATCATACACCTTTGTCCTGACTAAGGACCCAGGTGAGGAGTCCAAACAGGGAACATGAGAGCCTGTGAACTTCCTTGTATTCTAGAGGCTCATGAGACCAAGTGAGAACAGGACAGAGGCAGTGCAAGATCACGAGAGGACCGGGGACTGAGGTGGGCAAGGGACAGGAAGGCCTTGGGTTGCACTGGGGCGGGCATCACTCCTTTTCCTTTGGTCTAATCCCATTGGTAGGGCTCTGCACCCGCAACCATCCGATGCTCACGAGCCAGGATTGCAATTCACTGTCCACGGAAAGCAAAGGGGAGCTGGCCTGTGAGACTGTCACCCAAGGGCCCAGAAGAGACAGAGCTTTGTGGAAACGAGGGAGAAGACAACCCCATGCTCTACCCAGCCCCTCGCCTGGGTCTTTGTTCCATACCCCACCCTCCAAAACCCAAGGGTGCTGGGTACCTGACCCCTGGCTGTCTCGCCACTGTGATGCCAGGAAGGGGAGTTGGGGTATGGCCAGAAGCGGCTCTCGTTAGGGAGTGGAGGGACGGTGGGAGGAGAGTCCAGGGGGACGTAGGCTTTGGGGAGGGGCGGCCGAGGTGGGCCAGGTTCCTGAGGCAGAGAGAAGCCAGAGCATTAGGAGGAAGGAGAGCGGCCACTGTGAGAGCAGAAGAGAGAGTTAGCAGAAGCCAGATAGTCTTATCCTGTGAAGCAACCCCAGGTCTGGCTGGGCACTGCACCCCAACCCTGGCCTGGCAGAGCTCCAGATCCACCGCAGACCCCTGCCTGGCCTGTAGGCCCTCCTGCCCACCCCTCCACATCGCTCCCCACTTTTCCAACATACCCTCAGTACTGCCTCCCAACCTGCCAGGACTTTCCCATCCTGTATCTTTGCCTCTGTCTCCCTTGCCTGTACTCCATTTGGCCTCATCCTGTCCAGACAAACTAGGGCCCCATCTAGGCTCTATCGTCTCCTCCGTCTCCTCCTTTGGAGAATTGGAGTCTTTATAGCTGAACCACGTGACTCATTACTGATACACCACCAATATCTCCTGTAGGTTGTAGCTTACTATGAATTGGTTCCTGTTGGATTCTGACTCTCTAAACAAAGGACCTTAGTGGACTGCCTAGGTCCCTTTCTAGGAGCTCCATTCCATCCCAGGACATTGACTGATTGACTGGCTGACTAGCAAACAGCTCCCTAACCTGACCCTCAACCCCCTCACCTCGGGACACTCCTGGTTTAAATTCCCACCAGCATAGGGGATCTCTGCTAACTACCCTGGGTCTCAGGAATCAGCTAAAGATGACAGGTGGAGATGGGAGTGGGTGCAGGGGAAACCCCAAGGGGGAGGGTCATAAAACTACTGTGAGAATGGTTCCTAGATACCGCGAACCCAAACACTAGGGTAGGGCTCCTGGGGAAGAGTTGGGGAGACTGTGTGCCTTTCTGGTGGTTAGGATCTGGCCTTCCTGCCCCCATCGATCTTGTTCTGTTTTCCCAGCTTACCTCGCTGGACCCTGGTTTGGTTGGAGATCCCTGAGAACCAGACACCATTGAAAAGGGGCTCAGGGGACTGGTAAGGCTGGCGGAGCTGAGAGGGCTGGCTGGGCTGTTGGAGCTATAGGTGGCTGAGGGGCCGAGTCCTGCTGGAGAAACGGAAGAGAGGGGTAAAGAGCAGAGGAAGTGGGGGAGGTACCTGCAGGTGTTGGGGTCACAGGCTGGCTACTAAGAGGTCCTCTAGGCAGCAAAGGAAGCAGAGGTGACACTGCAGCCTCTGAAGTGTCAAAGAAATCCAGCCTGAAGCCCTGGGCTCAGGGGCAGCTCTCAAGCCACTTGGGCATCCTTTAGTCTAGTCCCTTAGCTGTCAGACAGCCCAGGGACGTGGAGGCGCCTACCTCTGTGCTTGGCCGTGTCAGTGCCCCGAGACGGGTTGTTCTTACGAAGTCCTTCCATCACATCTTGGATCCTCCAGATCTCCTTCTGAATTTGCCGGCTGAGCACCTCATTCTGAAAGAGCCACAGAGTGACCCACGGATGTGCCAGTCCTGCCCGAAGCCTGGACCCCGCTGGCCAGGTTTTTGGAATCCCCGTGTTCCTGCCCACACAGCTATCTCCAGCATACGTATCTTTCTTAGGGGAAGTCTCTGCCTCTTTAGCTAATATAAAATTGTGTCCCCAGAACCAAAAGTGAGGGACCTCTACTGAGCCCACATGGGGAACCAGGGGACACATCCTGTTTTCTAAGGGGCAAGACTTTCAGTGTGGTTTTTTTGTTTGTTGTTGTTGTTTGTTTGGTTTTTGTTTTTTTTGTTTCACATTCCAGCAGCCTAGCCATGAGTTACATTCTCCTACAGCTCACATGCTGAAATTTAACAGCACCACTCATTCTGTGCTCCTGGGTACCAGGTGCCACTGCAAATGCTTTGCATGTATTAACTCAACTCATCTCAGGACTCCTCACCAAGGTATGGAGAGGCAGCGGCTCTTACTTCAGAGAGGAGAGAGGAGACTGAGTCCAGGGCCATCCACTGAGTAAGTCGCACAGCCAATGTCTCAGAACTGGAGCTCGTGCCCATGGCCCTCCACCCTCCTAAAATTGTGCACTTGAAGTGCAGCTGGCCCAAGGGATGTAGCAGTATCTGGGTCCTCTGGGTCCCCACTTTTCCCTGCCCAGACCAAGGAAGGGAGGTGAGTTTTGTTATCAGGAGGAAAACAGGTGCTAACTGCATCTGAGGAACAGAGCTTGCAAAACCAGCTAGAGAAGAAGCAGGGCTTGGTCAGACAAGGGGGAAAATAAAATAAACCAGAAGTCTCCAACACCCATCTTCCCCCCTCCAAGCCGCCTGCTTCTTCCCCGTCCCGAAAGATAAGCCTTGTTTCTAAAACTGCATAGATGGCCCCTGTGCTGCCAGCTTTTCCAGTGTCTTGAGAGGTATTTATAACCACTCATCTGTTTTTAAATTCTTTCAGCATAGAAGATCCTGCTTCTCACCTAAGTGTCTGCCTCATTAGCTCCAGCCCCTGTGGGTTGAGAAGAACAGTCTCACTTTGTCTTCAGCCTAAAAGTATAGCCTTAAGCGGCCTGAATCTCTCTTTTCTTCCTTCTCTCTCCTCTCCCATTCTCTCTCTCGTCTCTCTCCATCCTTCTCTGTCTCTGTTCCTCTCCATCTGTCGCAGGACCAGCTCCTTGTCTTATATGGAAATGGCTAAATCAAGAAAGGCAGTCACTTTGTTCTCCTTTGCCTCAAAGGACAAGGGGAGATGCAGAGCACATATTGCCCCCCCCACGTGAGTAGAGCCCCCCCTTACCTGGATGTCCAAGTTGAGCTGTTCCCAGAGGTCGTCGTGCAGGGCAGAGACCTCAGACTCGAGGTTCTCATACACCATGGTGCTGTTGGTCAGGGCCTGCATGGGAGAGGATGGATTTAAAAATCCCCATGGAAACACACTTCTGGCTGTGAAGGTGCTTCCAGGGAGGAGTAACTGAGAGGGGAAGATGTGTGTAGCACCATCACACAGGCTTGGGTCCGGGACCCAAGGGCATGGCAAGCTGAGCACCCCAATCCATCTCTGCTTCGAATGTGGGTGCAAGGGACCAGCTGCCTTACACCCCTGCCCACCGTGCCTCCCCACGGTGGCTACATTCCCTTCAAACTGAGCGCAAAACCCTTCCTCCTTAGTGTTTCTTTTGTCAAGTGTTTTGTCACAGCAGCGAGAAAAGCAACTAGGAGGACGCTGCCTCCATTAAGGCCTTCCTCCCACTGCTGCAAAGGGGTCTGGGCCAGGATACCCGGGGTCTGAAGTCTGGCAGGGAAGGAACAAAGTTGAAGCGTTCAGATGACAGCTCTCACTAACCCTCCTAGAAGGGGCCAGGGCATATCCCATGGCACACTGAAGGAAAAGCTGAATCCTTTCAGGCCAAAGAGGAAAGTTCTCAATCGGACCCTCTTGTTCCTCTCAGGCCAGAGAACAAGTGAGGGTAGAGAGACGGAGCCTGGGAGAGAGCGCTGACTCTCTCCCCACAGGGACCCTCCTTCTCTTCTGGGCCATGCTTTCCTGGGCCACTGCTACCAGAACAAGCTGTGTTGAAGGATCTGCCCTTGTCCCCCTGGCGGGGCAGCAGTAGCCAGCCAGTGCCGGGCTTCCCCATGGCAGCATATGGGGTGGATAAACCACGGAACTCAGTAACCCTCGGCTATTACTCAAGGAAGCCCTGTGCAAATGCAGCCTGTGGGAAGCTTGCTCTCTGGGCAGAGAAACTCTGGAATGAATAGGTGGGGAAACTTTCTAGGGTGCATGCCGCCTGCAATAGGAGAGCCCTTGCAGGACTTCTGCTTCTGCTGTCTTAGAGAGATCTGGGTCGGTGTGGCACAAAGGGGACCTGTCCGGGCGGTTACCGTAGTCGCCTGTGACAGCTCCACCCGGATGTTGATGAGCTGGTTTTGCAGAGATTCCTTTTTGTGCAGCAGCTTCTCAGGGTAGGCAGGCTGGTTTCCAAACATCTCCAGCTCCTGGTGGGTTCCCATCAAGGCACTTTCCAGGCTCTCCTAAAGAAAGACGGGGATGGCATGGGCTGCCCTAGTGACCTCTAGATGCCTGAGCCCCTAGAGTTCAGTCAGGCAGCTTAGCAGAGGTTATCCGCACACTGGCTACTGTCCCTGGGAGATAAGAAGTCTAAGGAAGAAAACGTCTCTCGCCAGTCCCATGCCAGCCCCACAACACCACAGACACTGACCTTCTCTGCTCGCAGCTGCTGCACCAGCCGGTCCTGCTCCCTCACCACCTTGTTCTGTTCACACAGCTTGCCCAGCAGCTTCTGAGGGGCCAGAGGGGAGAAAGGAGGGGATGAGGGACATGGTTCGATGGAGACTTGGGACTCGGGTTGGCAGGGCCTGGCCTCTGGATACCGCCACTTTCCCCATTCAAGGAACCTGGCCCTTCACTGTCACCTTGGAGGCTCTGGGAAAGAGCACGATGGACCTCTCCGTCTTAGGAAACAAGGTAGGATAATTCTCTGGGGGGAGGTGGCGGGAAGCCAAGTGCATACCTATCCTACTGAGGGGGTACAGTGCCCGGAAGGCTGAGAAGACAATATGGCCTCACCTCCTTGGCTTGGGTAGGGGAACAAGCAGTGTTAAACCAATGTAGTGTAAGCTGGCCCCTCAGCCCCATGAGCCCCAGTCTCTCCCATCCTGAGATTCTGAGTTCTTGTCCTCTAAGGCTGTGGTTCTCAACCTGTGTGCCATTACCCCACGGGGGCCACATATCAGATATCCCGCATATCAGATATGTATATTATTACTCATAAAAGTAGCACAATTACAGTTATGAAGTAGCAACGAAACTATGTTATGGTTGCAGGGCACCACAATGCGAGGATCTGTATTACAGGGTCCCAGCATTAGGAAGTGGAGAACCACTATTCTAAGGTCTCAGGATGGCTGATGGGAACCCCACTCAGCCGGTCCCCTTGCCTGAACCCCCCCTCCTTGACCTCTGTCTACTGAAGGAGGATCAACGGTGACGGAGAAGCAGAGGCAGAGCCCACTTCTCGGTTCTGAGGAGTCATCTCCTTCTCTAACTCACGTCTTCCCTTGGTCCCCTTTGTACTGAGCCAAACCTTGTCCTTTGGACTTTTCATCTCAAGGCCTTTCTCATTGGCCACCTTTTTGTCCTTGAGCCACTCGTTGGCCCTGTTCAGTAAATGAATCTGGCGTTGCCAACTGATGCTATCTCCCACTGCACGAAGCTCCTTAGGGGCAGAAACAGGCCATATTCCCTCTAGTATCTTGCAGTATCTAACAAAGGCTGGGCACAGAGTGGACTGACTGATTTATAGTCTAACAGAGCCTAAGTCTTTGCCCTAAGCAGGTCACACTGGTGTAGAGGGGCCCACAGCTTGGTATAGAAGTGGGAGTGAGGTAGTCCAAAAAGAGACGGGGAAGGAGGGGAAGCAGATGGAATGCTGTGTCTGTGGTCCTGACGAGAGGACGTGAGTCAAATGTATGAAACGCCACCAGGAGACAGAGGGGATGGAGAAAAGGAAAACAAGAATGAAGACGACAGCATGAGTACAACGTGGTCAGAGGGAGCAGGGAGAGCTGTCCTTACATCCGTGTCTTGCTCGTTTAACTTGAAGGTGTGGAGGCCATCCCGGAACACCTCTGGGTAAGCAGGGACCTGCAGGAACACGAGGTTGGTTACTGCGGCAGGGGCAGATGAGGCTAGGTGAGTGGGGAAGCTGACATCACAATCCTGCTTCATTCCTGCCAGAGACCACTGCCCATCATGCCTGCTGGATGCTTCTGCGCCAGGGACTCGAGCTAATTCTGTGTCCTCTGGCTGGGAAGTCTGTGATGGTGCAGTTTAGACGTCATCCTGATTGTCCATGCCTGATTCTGGAGAGGTTAGAACTTGGTTGGCCACATGACCTGTGTCTCCTGTCCCCTGCTGGAGACCTGCTGGAAGGTAGAGCTCCTGATGGTAACAACCACGAGAACACCAAGTAACTGCTGGGCAGTTTGTAGGGACAGCGCTTGAGAGCCGGGCAGGAATGAGCACCAGGAACTTGGAGAATGACTGTCCTCATAAACACCGATCACAGAGCCCATTCTAAGCCAGTTCTGGCAAGATTCCAAAAGCACCATGGGGGCCAGTTAATGCAGCCTTGCCTTGACAACACAGCGGCCATCGTAACACACTTCACAAAGCCTTGACACCCTCCCCTCATGCCCCAGTCCCGGTAATAATCTGTCAAGGACAACAGCAAATGTGAACTCGATCCTGGGCATTCAAAAGCAGGTTTGTAATCTCCAGCATGCATGAGATGTTGCTGCTGGCTGTTTGGATGGCTCAGCAAATGCATCTTGGATTTATCCATGAACATGAAGAATGGAGGTGGCATGGTGGAGCTGGGGAGAAGACTGGGCAGAATCTGTTTCAGGGGAGATGAGGCCGGGCAGATGAATGGATTGGGTGAAGCGGGCCTCACCCCACATGGGGTGACCCAACCATGCACACACAGCTGAGATGGCATTGACAGGGACCATGCCGGCAGCAGGCAGAGGCCTTACTTGCATGAAGAGTTGGGCCCTGGGGGAGGAGCTCTCCACCATGCGGTTCACCATACTGATGAGAGTCTCACTCTCACTCATCTGCAGCAGAGGAAGGAACGGAGGGACAGACGATTCACTCAGCCCCGGGGATCACTATCTCCCCACACCCCATCGATTCTCTGCAGTAACAGGGGAGGGGCAGCTGCTTTTGGCACCTCCAGCACCTGATGCTTGGCCTTGCCATTTGTCACCCTGTGACCTGTTTCAGGACTGGTACTGATGGATGCTGTCCTCAAGCAAATGCCACAGCAGGATGCTGGGAGGTCACTAGAAGAGACTCTGCAAGGCCAAAGGACTCTACCCTAAGGGCGCCTGACCACACTGGCCAAACTGTCCCCTCCTGTCCACTTCTCCAACTGCTCTGGATGAAGACCACACAGTAGGAAGGGCGGTTTCCTCAAACTGACACTACACTGAACGAAATCGGCAAACCTGGGACCTACTCTCTCCGCGGCGGCACAACCCTCCCCACCTCCTGGAGGATCACTAGACAGTTCCAGAGCTGGGCTGGCAGCATCCATGAGGGTCTCGGATGGCGCTGGAAGCGAACAAGGAGGCCAAGACAAGTGAGCCATGTTAAAGGGACACCAGGTGTCAGAACACTGCCCTCTTACGCCATCTCTTAATTTCAAGGATCATTGGGAAAGTGGAAGGGGGAACTGAAAGGGGGAGGGAGGGGGAGGGAGGTCCAGCCAAACCAATCAGATACGCCCTCATTTGTCCACTGGTTCCAGTGGGAGACAATCAAAGATGAAACTGTCAGGGATGTCCTTGGCTGTGTCCCTTTAACTATGTGTTCCACAGCAGATGGTGGGAGAAGACGAAGGGAGGTATACAGAGAGAGCTCTGGGGCCATAAAGTAACCAAGCAAAGGACATTAGGGATGATCCTGTGGGGCCAGAATTTTATCTACCTTCTGCCCAGTCTTGGTCAGGCCTGCTGTCTTTTCTTCCCCTTACCCTCTTGAGGCAACGCCCCAAACATCTTTGTTTCTGCCATGCTGTGGACAGAGCAAAGCAACCAGTGCCCCCATTTGCAGCGTCTACAGCATTTTAATTTAAAACTTTTGCCTGCATGTATGTCTGTGTAGCATGTGCCCACAGAGGCCGGAAGGGGCATCAGTTCTTGGATGCCCTAGAACCGAATTTACAGGTGGTTGTGAGCTGTCACATGGGTGCTGGCAACCAAACCTGGGTCCTCTGGAAGAGCAGCCAGTGCTCTTAACTGTGGGGCCAACTCTCCATCCCTAGGTCTGCAGTATTTTAAAAGACTTTCTAGCATTCAATTTTCTATTCCTGTAAGCCCAGTTAGGGTTTTTCCATGCGATGTAAAGGCTTCAAGAGTGCCCATAGTATGGGGGAGAGCATAAGAGTTACAAAACCAACAGAACAGCCTCCTTGTTTAGTCTAAAGTAAATCCGGTCCCTATCTACTTAAAGAGACCATATGTGTGTATGTCTGTGTGCATGCACCCGTTGACATGGCTTCTTTCCCATAAGTGGTTTGCTGTAACAATGCCCCGCAGAGAACTTCCCAATCTGATTCTCCCACTACTCTGAAGAAGAGCAGACTCCACTATGAAAACAAAGGACCAGGGAGACTAAATGACACATCCCCCAGTGCTACCCAGCACGGCACTACATGCTGTGTCTGCCCCTCATCACTCATCACACAGGACTCTATGAGAATATTGGGCAGCTGGGCGGTGGTGGCGCACGCCTTTAATCCCAGCACTTGGGAGGCAGAGGCAGGTAATTTCTGTGAGTTTGAGACCAGCCTGGTCTACAGAGTGAGTTCCAGGACAGGCTCCAAAGCTACAGAGAAACCTTGTCTTGAAAAACAAACAAACAAACAAAAAGAATATTGGGCAGGAGGGTAACTCAGAGGTGACTTCTCTGAAGACCCTCTCAGTCAGCCCCTCTGGAAAGGCAAAAGCCACTCTGTTAAATGCTTGCACAGGCAGCCATTGTGGACAGAGCAGAGCAAAGGCAGCCATTGGGGACAGGGCAGAGCAAGTCACAAAGCTACAAGGAGGACAGTCTGCTCGGGAGGCTGGTGGTGGTTGCTCTGAGTCCTCCTCACTTCAGGGTACCATAGGTCTGGGAAGACCCAGCACTTCCAGCCACACTTGGGAAAGAGCATCCTGGGATTCCTCCCACATGGCCCAGAATGCTTATGGCATGAATATGATGCGTGGCTTTTGGAACAAGAATGCAAGGTCCTTGAGGGCCAGGAGCTGGCCCTGCTGACTAAACTCTGGCAAACAGAGCTTCCCAGTGCCTCAGACCTCTTAGAGAGATGATCTCACCATAACAGGGAGGCTATAGGAGATGACAGGTCACATGATTATTACTGGAAGAACATAGAGTCATAGCGGTGAATATAGCCTTTCCAAGGTCACATTTCTGTCTACAGACTTATGAGTATGAACTTGTCCTGATGAAATGTGATTCCAGCCTTGTCTCCCAGCTACAAGCTGGGGTAAAACCTAAGCTATGCCACTCGATGTTCATTTCTTTTTTTTAACCTAAGTGCTTTATTTCCTTGTCTGTAAAATAGGATAGTCACAGTTCCCATATTGTAGAATTATTACAAAAAGTAAAAGGATTGTGATCTACTCTAGTCAGCCTATTATAAGGCATGAAGGAAGCACCAGATTATGGTGGCTGCTATTACTATTGTTGTTATTGAGACAGGGTCTCACCATGTAACTTTACCCAGTCTGGAACTCGTTATATAGGTCAGGCTGGCTTCAGACTCACAGAGATCCAGCTGCCTTTGCCTCCGAAGTGTTGGGAATGAAAGCATGCACCATCACACCTTGGCTATTCTTAATATCACTACAATCATCTCTACCACCCCCAGCTGGCATCACAGGAAAATAAGGACCTCCAGATTGATTCCCTGTGAGTTATAGCACATATCTCAGGAGACGTGTATGGGTTCACCCGATGCCTGTCTACACTGAGCGTTTTTATATAGTCCTCTTTGGAGTTAAAAGCAGGGACACAAAGGGAAAAGCCTGGAGTAGGAGCCAGGCAGCCAGCAGCTTGTGTCTCACTGGAATACTCATTGACTGGTCAGCTTGCTTATCATGCAAAATGAGCTGACACTGCTGCCTCTGTCAACCGCACTGAACTCTCAGGACAGGAGCTGTATATGCAAAAGAGCTTTGTTGAGGGACTAACACATATATGGAATTTATATCATCTTCCAAACCATACTAGGGAAAATCTATAGTTTATAACTACGGAGCTTATCAATGACCAGTAGGACAGGATATGATTTCCCAGGTCCAGGCTTAACTAAACCCCTTGGCATCTTAGGCACAAATCTTGTCTCTACTCTCTTCAGCAAAAATACCAATCCCCACCTGCCCTCGAGGGTAGTTCCGTGTGGGCCGAGCCCTGGAGAATGTGGATAGGGGTAGTGAATTATTTGCGTTCCCATTTATATGCTTCTTTCCTGAGGACAGCCCCAGCTTCAGAGGGAAAGGAGATGAGGGAGCAAACGAAAACACAAGCCACTTTGTTGGGTCCCGGTGACACCAACAAAGGTTGTCCGATGGCTGGAGGATGTTAGGGATGGGGGAGGGGAGGATGGACAGGAGGGCATGGGATGGCGAGGGGCACCAGCTCTGCCTACCTGCTGGTCCAAATACTCTAGGTTTCTTTGCAACTGAAGATCTAAAAGGTCATCCTACCCGGAGCCCGAGGCCAAAGGGCCAACCAGCAACACAAACAAACAGGAACACACAAAAGAAAACGATAAAAAAAGAAGCAAAGTAGTTAAGAGTTAGCTGGGCATAGACAGTGAAAAGTCTCTGTCTTGTCCTTTAAGTGGTGGAGAAGGGATGGGGGACACTCTCTCCCAGCTGTTACCTCTGTTCCACCCTGAAAATGTGATCAGATGGGTTTCCACATTTTCTGGGGCAATGGGCTGTTTCTGGAAAGGTACATTTGCTGTGGATCGAGGCTATGAGGTCTGAGCATCGGGGTGAGGAGTGGCTGTCCTCCTGTCCGCCAACCTCCTGCACCCTGGCCTCCCTTTCCGGGTGTGGGACACAGATTCTTTAGTCCCCAACCCACTGACATGGAGTGTCTGCATCTGACCCTCTAGTGGAGGTAAATTTCTCAGGGGAACACATTTCAGAAGTAAGTAGAGATAGCAGAAAAGGGAGCAAACACAATGTGGAACTCTGTCCCTTCCCCACAGGTGGCATTCCAAACAAAGGCAAGCTTGAGGCAATACAGCAAGGGGGAAAGTTCACAGCACTAGCCTGGGGAGTCCTAGCCCGACTCTGCATCCAGCTCATATTCCTAGCTAGCCCTGGCCCCTCCTCTTGCGTGCTGGTGAGAAGAGCTGAGCTGAGGGGCAGAAGGAGAAGCCTATGTTTTCTGTTCTGTGCCATAGAGAAGGGGCAGCTGGCCCCAAACCCTGCCCTGGGGGCTTGAGGCTTGGTGGGGAAGGAGGAGGTATCCAGAGACTTCTAAAGATACATGGGCCAGGTACTGGGCCCAAAGCATCCCTGGCACCTGCCCCAGTTCAGCTCCACCTTGGGTGGATGCAGGTGAGGAGGTCCTGAGGTGTACTGGAAGGGAGGAGAGGACGTACCATCTTATCGTGGACCGTGGGGGATGGTGGGTAGTTGTAGGGGAACAGTCCTGCAGGGACTGGCCGCCTGTCTCCCAGGTAATCATACTGGAAGAGAAAGGGGATTGCAGAGATGAGAGGATATGGCTGGGCTGTGGACTTCCCCACCAACTAAAGTTCAAGGTTAAGGGTTTCTATCCCAGAGCAGAGTTCAAATTAAAACGCACAGCAGCCCCATTCACAATAACCTATCTGAGTCCTCAAGATCAGAGGACAGACCTTTGTCCTCTTAGACATGACAATTTTTAGCACAACCTGGGAATGGGAAGAGTTCCTACTTAGAAGCTAGAACAACTCCCAAGGCAGCTCTCTTAGGGATGGTACCATAGGCCAGGTTCCCTGGGACAGATCCCTGGCTTGGCAAGACACATCCCAGATATCCCAGCATTTCCAGCTCTTCTCAGCAGATGGTCTCAGGGGCTCAGGAGGGAGGGGCAGACTGGTGGCTCACCTTTGGGGAGCTGATAGATCGCCTCATCACATAGGCAGCAGGGTCTGCATAGATGTCCTCACTCCGAGGCGGCAGCCGATCAAAACGGGCACTGGGTGAGCGCACGGGGGAGTAGATTCGGGCACGACTGTAGGAGCCCTGGCTGGGCGAACGGGGCACAGAGTGGGAGCGGGGCTGCAAGGAGAGGCGTCGCAGGGAGCCAGAGGCAGCATCCAGCTCATCATAATAGACTGGCTGTCGGGAGGGGCTGGGGATCCAAACGGTGCTGTCCTGCCGCCCATAGCTGGAGGGCTCCTTCCATTCACGAAGCTGGTAAGTGGGGCCACCCCCATTACGGAAGGAGTGCCGCTTGTCCTCCAGGGCCCAGGGCGGACTAATCCTATCGTAGGCTGGCATGGAACAGATGCTGTCTGGTCGCACCCCTGGTGGGTAGTACTGGTAATCCTCAGGGTACTGGGAGGAGTAGGGGCTGTAATACTCAGGGACCCGGCGGGACACAGGGTAGAATCTTGAAGGACTGAGAGAGAGAGGGGGGACATTATAAGGAAAGTAGACAACGTGGGCATATCTCTACCCACATGTGCACCCAGCTCTCTTCCCAGTCCTACAGCTCAGAGCAGGTGCTTGAAAATTCAAGTGACTGGAGCCCAGGACTAAGCACCCAGGAGGCCACTGCCCAGGCAGGTTCTAGGCTTAATCCAGAGGTGAGAAAAAGTCCCACCCTCCACCAGCTTCCTAGAGCTGAAGACTGCACCATTCAGAGTTTAACCTGTGTGTCTTTAAGATGAAATGTTCTGGAAGACAGCTCTAGGCTTATCTGCCATCTTCATCTGAGTGTGAACCAGTTTACCAGGTCCTTTCCAAGACAGGTGGTGGAAGAAAATACTCAAGTGTACCATGCTCCGAAAGGAGCAAAGTGTGGCTTTTTAGTCATATGCTATCAGAGATAGTAGGCTCCCAGGACTTACAGCCAATTGCCCAAGTGCCCAATCACCAACAGTGAGATGCTAACTGTCTAGAAAGGTAGGCTTCTAGATCACCCCTGAGGGTCTACCAACAATCCTTGGAGCTCCCTACACCCCGAGCTCATAGCCCTGACAAACACCATCAGACTCAACAGGTATTCCAAATACTTGGAAGCCAGTCATCAGATAAATCCCTGTATTTACCCATGGAGCAGAGCGGTCATCAAGGAATAATACGGCAATGAGGTACCTTGTTTCCTAAAATACCCCCCCCCCAGAAAAGAAACAACTCGCTGTTAACAGTGGCTTTGAATAACAGAGCTATTTAAAATGGCATAAGTTGTTTGGTTCCCAGTGAGCAGGGGCACTGGATTCAGATGTTACAGGACCTGAAGCAAGGATTGGTGTTAAAGATGAACAGATTCGAGGCCTGGCTCTACCTCTACACCTGCATGACTCCTGTCTACCCCAGGCATGGCACTCTCTCTCTCTCTCTGTTTCTCTATCTCTGTCTCTCTCTGTCTCTCTCTGTCTCTCTCCCTCTCTCCCTCTCCCTCATCTACACTCCCCCCACTCTGAGACAGGGTCTCATGTAGTAGCCTAGGCTATCCTACAATTTACTATGGAGTGAAGGATAACCTCAGAACTCCCAATCCTCCTACTTCTGCCTCCCAAGAGTTGAGATTATAGGAATGTGCCACCATGCCTGGTCTATCTTTTTCTTTGAAGGCAGCAAACAGAAAGACAATCAGAGGCAAGGATCTGGTCAAACTGAGAGTCAGGGATAGTTTTAGCTTCCCAGCACAGTCAGCTTCCAGAAGGTTCCTAATAAAGGGATGTCTCATAGGCTATGCCCCTTCCCATGCCCTAGCAGTAACAATCCCTACCCCTGGGCCACCTCACCTCCGAAGGTCTTCCGGTGGGGGTACCCCTCGGCGCAGGTTCACCCACTGCTGAAGCTGGTTCATGGAGCTTTTGCGTTGGGCAATTTTGTCAGGGTCAGTACGTGGTGGAAAGCTCCGCCGGTGTCCCCCAGTGTCCCCATCATGGGGTGGAAAAGCCGTGCTCCCTGGTCGGCTTGGGGAGCTATACTGCCAGCCGTTGGGTTGACCGGGCTGCTCCCCACCTCCCGGGACCCTCGGGCCATCAGGGTAAGGACTGCCAGGCTCTGAGGCTGGTTCGGGTTCAGATGGGAGGCCGTTGGCTTTCACTAGAGGCTCTTTCTTGACTTCGGGCCTCTCAGGCCTTCCCTCCGCCTTCTCACAGCCTCTGCCGTCCCCTTCCCCTCGAGTCTTGGCCTCGGGCTCTGGCTTGGTGAGGCTGTTGTGAGTCTGCTGATGAACTTTGCTGGGTGGGATGTTCTCTGAGTCTGACTTCTCGTGGCTGCAGGAGGCCAAGGTAGAGGCGGTCAGTCACCCTGGCCCAGCAGTATGGGGTAGGGCAGGGGCGAGTGGGAGGAGTGGAGGGAAAGAGGCAGAGGTGGTGATGGAATCAGGCCAGGGTGACCCCCAACTCGGCTTCCTAAACCCCAGGCTTTACTTCATTGCTGGGCAACGGTGAGATAAAGTCAAATAACCCTCCAGTGAACACCACACTTTCTCCGTCCTCCAGGCCTGCTACCAAAATCACTCTCCCTTCTGCTACTGATATGGAGCCCAGCTCTTGGCTGTGGTGGCCCCTCATTTTGGTCTTGTCTGTTATCTGTCTCCAATCCAGCCCTCCCGACCCGGCTGGCACTGTAGCCCAGCTTTAGAGCAGTAACTGTACTTAGCAATAGAGGCTTGCTGCAGGTCCACCTGTGTCTTTCCATGAGTCCTGGGGACTCTTCATTGGCAGAATAGACAGAACACCATCTGTCCTCAGGGGCTGCTGTGAGCCGCAGCATGGTGGGCAGCAAGGGCACAAGTCATTGTTTCCTAGCAGGTAAGCACGGAGGCCCCTCTCCAAAGCGCAACCCTGAAGGCCCCTCCCTCTTCAAAGCACAACCCTGAAGGCCCCTCCCTCTCCAAAGCACAACCCTGAAGGCCCCTCCCTCTCCAAAGCACAACCCTGAAGGCCCCTCCCTCTCCAAAGCACAACCCACAAGGCCCCTCCCTCTCCAAAGGGCAACCCTGAAGGCCCCTCCCTCTCCAAAGGGCAACCCTGAAGGCCCCTCCCTCTCCAAAGCACAACCCTGAAGGCCCCTCCCTCTCCAAAGCACAACCCTGAAGGCCCCTCCCTCTCCAAAGCACAACCCTGAAGGCCCCTCCCTCTCCAAAGCACAACCCTGAAGGCCCCTCCCTCTCCAAAGCACAACCCTGAAGGCCCCTCCCTCTCCAAAGCACAACCCTGAAGGCCCCTCCCTCTCCAAAGCACAACCCTGAAGGCCCCTCCCTCTCCAAAGCACAACCCTCCTGCGTCTAGCATGGGTAGAAAGTGGGCTCCGCAGGGCAGAATATGACAGGTTTTAACACAATGTGCTCTTAGGACCTGGTATAGGATATATGTCCTGGTTGTTTTTGTTTGTTTATTGTTTGTCAACTTGACACACACTAGAGTTATTTGGGAAGAGGGAGTATAAATTGAGACTATTCCTATTCCTCCAAACCACAGGTCTGTGGGCAAGTCTGTTAGGCATTTTTTTTTTATTGATGATTGATGTGGGAGGGCCCATCCCACCACGGACAGCACCACCCCCTGAGCAGGAGGTCCCATGGATGGTCTAAGGAAGCAGGCAGAGCAAAGCCTGGGAATCAAGCCCGTAAGCAGCATTTCTACATGGCTTCTACATGGCTCCTGCCTGAGTTCCTGCCCCGACTTCCCTGGATGACAGGAAGTCCCCGAATGGACTACAAACTGCGAGAGGAAATAAACCCTTTCCTTCCCATGTTGCCTTTGGTCAGTGTTTATCACAGCAGTAGCAGCTCGGACTGGGTGGGGGTGGTTTGTTCTCTTTCTGGCGAATCTGCGAAGTAGATGACTGAAGCTTGGCAGTGCACAAGGTGGACCCCTGAGACAGCGTCGCCCTAGAGCTTCCGTCCCATAAAGCTTCCCTGCTGAAGCACTGGCCAGGGTCTACACCGGAAGGCCCTTTTCTGGATCCCCTTCACCTAACTCAAGGCTCCACGGGGAAAGGACAGGTAGGCCCTGAGAACACAATGTGGTGAGTGCTTTTGGGACTTTACATACAATCTGCTGCCCTCATCCAGGACAAATCCAATGCTAGATTTGAGAAAAGAAAAATCAGGTTCTGAGAGGTTAAGTCACTCACCCCGAGGTCTCACTGTGGCCAAGCAGCTAACCTATGATCCAAACCTGACTCCATTTTCCTCCACAGTGTTTAATACAAATAGCCTGGAACAGTGAGTAAATGACCCTAGTCTTGGGCTCCTGGCCAAGCTTCAGTGGTGGAACTCTCTGAAGACTATCCCAGTTCAGAAAGGAGAGGAGCAACTGGTCAGGGGAGGTGAAATCCAGGCTCTGCGACCTGCTAGCCAGACCTGCTGTTTAGATGCAGGGAGGTGGTCCTCGCTCCCTCCAGAGGTTCAAGCCTACACAGTGGGCCCAGCAATGGCACAAAGCTGTGTGCTTTCAAATGTCTGTCTTTGCTTTCCTCCCGTCCATGTGAGGGACCCTGGTACTCACCTGTGCCGCACAGGCTGAGGCGCTGACTTCTGGGCTGGAGGAATCTGTACCCGAGCGGCCTCGCCCATGGCCTGGATCCAGGCCTCCTGCTCCTCAGGGCTCTCGGCACTGAAGAAGTAGGTGCGGACTCCAGCGTGCTCGGCCTGTGGGGAGAGGCAGTGCGTGGAACTGGCCCCGGCCTCATCTACCCAGGTAACAGTCACCTGCAGGGAGAGGGACACCAACAGCCACAGGAAGGGCAGTCAGTCAGTCAGGCTGTTCACAGCCCCAGTTTCTCCCTAGAGGAGCTTAAGGGCCAGACAAGGAGGGTGGCCTGCAGCTACCTCTCAGGTACTGCCTGGCCTGGGCATCTGAATACTACCTCAAAGCCCAGTAACCAGGAAAACAAGCCTACCTCTCCAGCCCAAAGTGATTGTAAGCAGGAGGGACAATTACCACATCCCCTCAACCCTTCAATTCCACCTTAGTGACAAGAAAATTACTCCAGGGCTGGGGCAGATGCCCCATCTCGAGCCCAGTTTCGTTACTGAGTAGCTGGCCCTACCCCTTCCTTAAGAGGAAACCCTGAGGCCCTAACCACAGCATGCAGGACGCTAGCACTGGCAAACAGAGGGACACACTACCTAGTTGGTGGCCGTGAGCAGGCACGGCGGGCTGGAACCCAGAAGAGAGCTCCTGTCCAGAGGAGAGGGTCCTCATGCGGCCAGAAGGAGGAGAGGCAGAGACAAGTCAACCGACACCAGAGGAAGAGACAGACCAGATGGTGAGGAGCGTGAGGTGGGTGATACGGGTTGGTCCCTTCTAGTCAGTGTCGCCACCCCGGAGGACAGCACTCAGCAGTGCCCAGCTCAGTCCAACAAGGGACGGCGCATAGAGGGCATGCGCTACGGGAATCTGGACTACGGTGGGCAGTGAATTGGGGTGTCCTAGTGTTAGCCCCAGCTCTCTAGCAGACAAGCTGCTATTTTGCTCTAGCTTAAAGGACGCGTCCACGGAAGGGCAGTAGGGACAGGCAGTAGGGGGAAAAAAGGCCACAGGACTATCTAAGTTCCTTCTGAGACCTTAGCACACACCCTCAACTCTTAACAAAGGTGGTTAAATTTACATCGCCTAACAGGGGCCTCCAGATGTGATTAGGAGTCTCATTCTGGCCTTGGCCCCCTTGGGTGCAGAAGCTGATGAGGGCTGAAGGGGAAAAGCTAGGCCCTCTGGCTAAACTCGAGGCTCTCCTGAACAAGTTAGGCTCACACCCTTCCAGTGTTTCCTGGCCCATCCTTCAGGAGACTCCTGTCACTGTGCCCACGTCCATCTCCACCGTCCCTCTCCTCAGCCTGGAACTCTCTGGGATGGGACTGGGCCGGGCTGCTTCCCTCTGGCTGGACAGCCCTTCAGCAGAGGGCCCAGTAGGAGGCAGAGCTGCTGAGGGGCGGGGATAATGGACAGCAATGGAGCTGTAAGGAGTGCAAGGAGCATTCTGGGACTTGAAACTGAATAGCAGTGCCCAGAGCTCAGGAAAGCCCTCTGGGACAAGAGCACAGGGTTAGTTTGGTGGCGTGGGAGACACAGGCAGGGGTGGTGTGTTGTGGGGTAGGTGGGAGTGAGCAAATGAATCTGTTTATTCCATGAACAACCTGTGTGTGCAGCTTGCTGGCTGGGGCACCAGTCACAAGGAAGATAAAGATTGCACTTGAGGTTAGTCACACTGGGGACAAAACATGTCACAAGGAACAAGGAGTAAACAGACCCAGGACCAAGTGCTTGTGACAGGAGAAGGCAGAGGGCCTGGGAAAAGACAGGGCTATTGATGGGGTGCAGGGAGGGGCACCAGCTTCCAATATGAAAGGAGCTGAGGAACTGGGGGAGGGGTTGAGGAAGCTGAACCATTCAACCATAGCCAGGCAGAGACGGTTCCTGGCTCCTCATTATCTGCCATCCAAGACTTGTGCTTGGTGGTCACAACAGGACAAGCCTGATGTCTGTCTGTCTCCGCTCCCCTCCCTTCCCTGGGGATGGGACACTGAATAGCACCAGTCAGAACCCTTTGTAGGCCACTGAACGTAGCTATCACGTGGGGCCCTTAAAGAGGCAGTGCAGGGCACGGGGAAAGAGGAGGGTGTGAGCGGCTGGTGGGCACAGTAGTGGTCTCTGGGCTCCACCGGAGGGTGTGTATCAGTCGTTCTAGGACATTTATCTGATGCCTGCAGCTGGCACAGCTCCTGTTTGGAGTATGTGTCTCTGACAGGTCTGGTATGAAGGGCGAGACAGGCTGTGGCTGGTGTGTGGGTGAGAGTGTGTCTGTGGAGCGGGACTGTTTGTTGGTTAAACAACCTGTTCCTGTTTTCCCAGCTAGAACCCAGCTCCCTGGAGCTAGAGTTTTATTAATTGTTCATTCTGTTCACACCTCTGGCACATGAGACCCTGGGAGGATGGAAACTAATTATGTGCCAAATGGGTCCCTCCCTGTTTCCCGGCAGGCCCCGCGTGCGTTTGCCCACCTCTTGTACCAGAATCTGCAGGGCAGGAGCTGTGGAAGCTCAGACACCAACCCAGTGCTACCTGTAGTTTCCGCCACATCTTTAAAGCCACGGCATTGTGTTTTAAGGGTCGTGGACAACCATTCTCACCTGGGGGAGGGAGGGCTTTATACTAAGACGAGCAGAGCTGATATTATTATTTCATATTTTGAAGAGGAGCCTAGAGTTTTTTGCATCACAAAACACAAAGGGCATGGGATTTTTATAGTTTTTTAATGGGTCATGAATTTTTAAGTGTGGAAAAATACTGGCCTAGGATGAGCCAGCTGCAGGCACAGCTTTGCTGAGTAGGTCCCCCAGGGGTTCTGAGGGAGTGACACTGAACAGGAGGCGAGTTCCATTTTCCTGTGTGCTTCCTCTCAAATTGTTGTGTGCATGGCCAGGGGTGCATCTCCATGGTAGGACACTTGCCCAGGATCCATAAGGTCCTGGGTGCCATCCCCAATACCATAGGGCTGGGGGTAATGTAACTCAAGATTAAAACAAACTCCTAATGTTCTCTAAAGGTTAAAATTTGAGTAAGTTTGACTTGGGGGGGCTGCCTCTATAGCCCTAGGTTCAAAGTAGAAAGGAAACCTACTCATAATGGCTTCAGAACGAACCCTGCCCACCACAGCTTTGCTCTGTAGAGGGGTGGGGGCAGGCTGCCTCCCAGCCATCTGGATGAATCTATGGGTCACTGCCCGCTCTCTTCTCTGCCACCACACATGGGCTTCCTAAGGCACATGCTCTTTAGCCTGCTCTAGCCTCAAGTTCTAGAAGAGCGGATTTCTTTCTTCCCCCTCCCGGAAGGGGAAGTCCAGCTGACCTTAAACGTGTGCTTCCGGCTGATGTTGTCTGAGGGCTGCACAGCTGCAACCCGGAAGCTTAACAGGGGAATGCTGCCCAGGATGCTCTCCTCCTTCTCATCTGTCAGGGAAACAGAGGTACAAAAGTGTGTGCGTATGCACATGCGCGTGGGTGTCCTCGCGTGCACGTATGCAGGTGTGCATGCATGTGTGTGCATGTGCGAGCACCTGTATATGCACACACCCATGTGTGCTTGCCCATGCTTGTGAGTGAATGTAGATGGAAGGGCAAGAAACTCTTCAACCTTACCAGGATAAACGTCAATGAAGATTCCATGTATTCATTTTGTGTCAGGCCGGTTCAATACCTTATTAGATCCAACACTCCTAACTGACCCACTAAGAGGTTCTACTATTCCCCCCCCCCATTGTCAAGTGGCATACTAAGTGATTTGTCCAGGTTTCTTAACCATTAAAAGTGGAATCAGTCTTAAAATTCAAGAAGCCCAACTCCAAAGTCAGCGTCCTTTACCCCTATCTTATCCGTCCTGTGTTGATAAGCAGGGCAATTTCAATAGCAATACACAGAGAAAGGGGCAGGATGAAGGTATTTACTCCTTTGGGTAATGGTTTGGGTGTTTTTGCTTTGAGATGGGGCCCTGTATGGACCAGAATGTACTATGTAGCCCAGACTGACCTTGTGCCAATGACTCTGCACCTTGGAATCCCCAATGACGGCATTATAGCTGTGAAGCACCGCACTTTGAGGGTAACTCGTTCTAAGGTCCTGCTAGGCCCCAGTGACCTGCTATGGATGCCATTAATGTCCCTGACCTCCACAGAAAGGCATAGTCCCAGGATCAGGCTACTACACAGTCCATCCTAGATCCCAAAGGATTACCCGGCCAGTGCCCCAGCCACAGAAAACTGACTAATATGGGTACCCTGGGACCATTCCTCTATGGCTCATGAGCATCCTTTGGTGTGCCTGGGCTTCTCTTCAGAGAGCCTGGCTCCTCCCTCTGTCCTGTCCCATGCTGGGAAATTCCTTACTCTTTAGTTCTAGATTTGCCTCTGTCCCTGTCCCTGTATCCATAGCCCCTGCTTGGCTACAACTCAGGAAGAGCAGCTCCAGGCAGAGGGTGAGCTGGAACAGCATGTATTTGTCTAAGTTAATGATTCACCACGCTGCTCTCAGGAGGCGGAGGAAGCCATCGCTGCAGGTAAGTAAGTGAAACACACAGCCTCTGTTTACAGACCATCTCGACCCCTCTCTTCTCATCCCTCCCGCCCCCTCCCCACGGCAGCAGCCTGATATGATGTCACCATTACTGTCACCAATTGACCTTTGCTTTGGTCCTCTGTGCTCACCCTGACATACGCTGTGCCCACTTTAGAATAACTTCCTGGGAGACGCTGTGCCAGAGTTCATCAGATCTTTGTCCTCTTGTGTTAGGGCAGGGGAGCCTCACGTGAACGTGGGGGTGAATGTGCTGGTAGAGGCCAGGACCGTTTGTCTGTCCAGCATCTCCTGACCATCTTCCCCGCAGCCCAGTTTTCAGTGCTGCGGACTTCACAGTAAACAAAATGGTAGAGAGTCTTACATGCCAGATCAGATTGCATATTCCGTTGGGCTAGGAGGAAAGTCAACACCAGCCTCCATTAGGAGGTGACTCACAAGCAGTGACTAGTGGCCTCCTCTTCCTCCTCCTTGCTCTTTTCCAACCCTTACCCAGGAATCTCACCACGCAAACGTTTGACCTGTTCACCTGCTGTATCATCAGTTGGTACCCAGAAACTGTTGCCTCCTGGGTAAGTATTTATGGCTAGGGATTGAATGAGCAGTGAATGAATCAGCTGTGATGCCCATTGCCACACCCTACCTGTCTGGAGGGACCTACCTCCCAAAGCAGAGTCCGACAGCAAGGCAGGAAAAGGCAGAGTGGCCCACGGCTCCCCCTGCCCTGGCAGCGCTGGGGCAAACTCACCTTTGTAGTAAAAGAGGCAGCGATCGACCAGGACAAACCAGCGCTTGTTCCACTGCTTCACCCCGGAGCTGGCCTGCAGGGTGCACAGAGAGACAGATGGGAAGGCCATGAGCTGGGTACGGAAGAGGAGGCAGACACAGTGAGAGGCTCTGCGCCAGTTACAAGGACATCAGGGCTCGCGCGCCGCAGCGCCGCCGCCTCTAGCACGTGGCAGCAACTCCCTTGAGATCTCAGATGCCGGGAACTAACATCAGATCATTGCCTGCGACTTTCCAGCTGTCATTCTGAGGCTCTGGGTCCCCCCGGGGAGGATAAAGGGGGCAAAAGATACCCCAGAATGAGTGAGTAGAAGAGCAGACAAGAATACAGCAGTGCCCATCCAGGGAAAGCTGGTAAACTCCAGCTCTTGGAGCCACCCCGCCCCCACACAGCAAGGGGATGTGGGGGGGGGGGGGAATGGAATGTGCCATGAGTTGCTCTGATGGGATTAGTGAGCTGGTGTATTTCAAAGTCATTGCATCAGCCCAGCAGGAACCTCATCTTGGATCCCCAAATTTGATACTAGTTAACTCTGGGGAGGTTTTCAATTTCTCAGACCTTTATAGAGTTGGGAGACATTCAGAGACAACAGGAAAACACAAAGAACAGGTGGGCTGCTGTGACTACAGAAGACTCACAATATTGTAAAGAAAGTGATGGCTGCGGTAGGTAACATGGCAAGGTGGCCTCACCTGTTTGAAGAGCCAGCCAGCTTTGGTGACAGGGGCACTGGGGTTCCGCTTCATGGAGTGTGAACGCTTACCAAAGGCAATGGCTTTTCGGGAAGTTCGAGTTGCCTGGAGGGGCAAAGGCAGCAGTTAGCCAAACTTCCCTCCTCTCCTTACAGCCTAGTTGGCAAGGGAGCTATCCTTGCTAATGGGTGAACCTCTCAGTGGGCCCCCGCTGCCCTCTCAATAAGAGACATGGTTGTGAAGGCTTTGACCCTCTACTAACTCAAGGGTGTGGCCCTTTAATTCTTTGGATCTTCTGATCTCAAACATGAGTTTCAACATACTAGTTGTTGCAGAGCTTTTGTCTTTTTTTCCTTGGAGGAAAGAAAACAAGATTTCTGAGTTTCTGCTTCCCATTTCTCTTTTACACTTATTTGCTTTGTGGGAGGCACATGCAAGCCATGGTGAGTTTGGAAGTTAGAGACCGATCTGCAGTCATTAGTCCTCTCCTTCCACCACGTGGGCTCTGGGATCAAACTCAGGTCACTGGGCTTGGCAGCATGTGCCTCCCCGACTCCAAGCAGCCGGCAGGCCCCAGTTGGCTCTCCTGTCCCCCTACTCTCCTCACCGCCGCCTCTTGCACAAAGCTTCTGGCATGTACACAACTTCCCCACACCATCCTGTCCCTGTCTCACACCAGACAGTCCACAGAGCTGGGAGGGTAGACATGCTCCTGGCTCATCACTGCCATGTGGTGACATCACCTGTGTCTGGCAATGACAATCTATTTTCCTTGAGCACAGCTTAACCCTTCTCCTCACAGTCTGCTCCTGGAGCATACTGCTGTGTTCTGTTTGTTTGTTGTTTTCATTTTGTTCTGTTTTAGTCTAAGGATTTTGGTGTAGTCCTCTTTACCATAAGACTTGCAATCACCATGGGAAACCTCACTAATCTTGAATGTGGCCCATCCAACGCCCTTTATATGACCTTATGTCCTCAACGCCACACCATGCACGGAGAATGCCGCCACTCTTGGGGCTGTCTTCCAGACCCTGCCAGCACCCAAGCCTTCAGCCCTACAGGAACATCTTCTGATGGCAACAGGCTTTCTCCCCTGACTCAGCTCTCCCAGCCTTTCTGCTTCACCCAGAGGCTCAGCTCCTCGCCCTTCCCTCTTTGCTGGATCCACACTCTACTTCCTGGTTTGTTATCCAGCCAGCCAGACTCAAAACCCCACCTGCTGGCTTCCTGCTTCATCTTTTCTGAAACTCAGTGTCCCAAATGAACCAAATCACCCATGTCTTCTGTGAGCTCTCGGGAATTAAAGTACTGTTGAAGGGGCTGACACATGAGGTCACCAGAGACCTTCAGTCCCCAACCCCAGTTGGGATGAGACCCCATCAGCAACTCCACTTCCCCCTCACACCGTCTTTCCAAGCCTCCCCACCCTCCAACCCTTTCTCTCCCCTGTTCTCACAGCCAGGCTCTGTACACCCACTCATGGGAAACGGTAGCTGTAGGACATGCTCTTCCTCAGGTTCATAGCCTTTTGCCTAGACAATTGCTGCCTTCACCACCACCTTTGCCTTTGAAAGAAGCATCGCTCTCCTTGCCAAGGATGATGCTTCTGATCCCCAGTCCCCTCAGATGCTGCCCCACTGACTGTCTCCCTTCAAACCTGCCCCTAAGAGGCAGGGGTGCAGCTCAATAGGAAAACACTTGCTCTTGCCTGCTGTACAGAAGGCACCCGTTTCCAAGCTGGTGGCAGTGGTGGTGCACACGTTTAATTCCCGTATTCAGGAGGCAGAGGCAGGTGGATCTCTGTGAGTTTGAGGCCAGCCTGGTCTACAGAGCGAGTTCCAGGACACCCAGAGCTGTTACACAGAGAAACCCTGACTCGAAAAAACAAAACAACAACAACAACAAAAAAGGACACCAGTTTCCATCCCTGGCAACACCACACACACACACACACACACACACACACACACACACACACACACGCTTGCACACTCACTGTATTAAAAACATTTAATTTTCTCAGCAGTTCTCATCACATAGGAGAACTGAAATTTCTCTGCACACACAGAAGACCAGGTGTGCAATATCTGGCTGGGTCTATAACCCGATTTATGCTGCCTTAGCACCCAGGTCCTATCTCTCCCTCATCCCCATCTTCCTGTGCTCCCTCATGGGGTAAGGCTATCCTCCCTCTTCCACCAACTCCAGACTTAATCTCTGACGTCCAGACAGCCTTCCCTTATGCTACAAAACCATCTCGGGTACCCACACATATGAGTACATACTCACACAGACACAGACACGCATCATTAACATAAATATACATTTTAAAAAGGCGGGTGCTGCAGGAGCCTATAATCTTAGCAGTAGAGAGGAAGGGACAGGAAGGTCCCTGGGGCTTCAGTGAATTCCAGGTTCAGTAAGAGACCATGGCTTTAAAAATAAGGTTTGAAGAAGCACATGAAGATGACACCTGGCATCTCTAGGGTCCACAGACACATGCATCTACCCACGGTTGCATGTACCCCCATAAACACACAAATTAAAAACACCTTTCTGAACTATTTCAAGTGTTTCAGGAAAGCGGGAGATATCACTACAATCATTCTTTTCTGTTGTTGTTGTTGTTTTCCCCCAATAAGAAAAGGCAAAGACGGGTGTTGGTGGCGCACGCCTTTAGTCCCAGCACTCGGGAGGCAGAGGCAGGCGGATCTCTGAGTTCAAGGCCAGCCTGGTCTTCAAAGAGAGTTCCAGGATTATTGGGGAAGTCCTTTGTCAATAAAGCACTGCTGGCCAATAGGAATCTAGATAGGTGGGACTAGGAGTCCAGGAGGACTCTGGGAAGGAGAAACTCAAGAGTCAAGATGTAACGCCATGGGGCAGGAAGCCCGGAACTATTCTCCGGTAAGAGAGATACTTAGATTAACAATTATGGGGTAATTACTTAAGTCAGAGCTAGCCAGTAAGAAACAAGCAAGGCCAACAGCTTCATAATTAATATAGCCTCCTGTGTGTTTATTTGGGACTGATGCGGCTCTGGAACCAGGCTGGTGGGAAGGCTTCTCTCAAGGGAAAAGCTTCTCTTTACACAGGATAGTCTCCAAACCCACAGAGAAACCCCGTTTCGGAAAAAAAAAAAGAGAGAAGGCAAAGTAGAGTCAGCTTCCCTTTGAGTTCCTCTCCATCTTGTTACCTTTCTCTTCCCTAAAGGCAGCCACTGACCCAAAATCAGTCTTGTGTCCATGGTTATACACGTGTGCTGCAGAATGTCTGTAAATGTGCAGCCCTGTTCTTCATCTTTGTACACTTTAAAAGTCATATATTTTTCAGAGACTGCAACTTGCACAGTTGCATTTCCAACGCACCCTTGATAGCACACACACACACACACACACACACACACACACACACACACACACACACACACACAGGGTTTAAGGACAGTGCTCTGCATGAATGCACTGCAGCCTGGGGCCCCTCTCTTGGCACACACACAAACACACACACACACACACACACACGCACGCACAGGGTTTAGGGAGCGTGCTCTGCATGAATCACTGCAGCCTGGGGCCCCTCTCTTGGCACACACACACACACACACACACACACACGCACGCATGCATGCACGCGCGCGCGCACACACACACACAGGGTTTAGGGAGCATGCTCTGCATGAATCACTGCAGCCTGGGGCCCCTCTCTTGGCAGCCTCCCCCTTGTTTCTACTTCTCCTGTCCCATCACCTCTCAACCTTCTGTGCGCATCACCTCTCAAACTGCTTGCCAAAGTCTCTAAGTTCAGCAGTCACTGAGCCCGAAAAACACATTCCACCTCCTTCTCAATGGAGGACTTCTTCCCAGGGTCCCCTTTCCTCCTCCTCCCATGCTGACCCCCCCCAGTCACCTCATCTCTCATGGGAGGTCCTTCTGCTGCCCCCTAAGATCAGTGGTCCTTAGGAGAGTGAGAGATTTTTGTCCCCAGTGGACACTGACAACAACTGCAGACATTTTTGGCTATTGACAACAGGAAAGATGGTCCTAAGGGCATCTAGCAGGCAGGGGTCAGGGTGCTGCTGACAGCCTGCACTGCTGGAAAACCCCGCCCACAAAGTGTCAATTTCAAACACTAGTAGGGCTGAGGAAGAGAAGCCCGTGTGTGGAGCCCCATCTTCTGTGAGGCGCTTATCTGGCTTTCTTCCCTTCCGCTCTGCACTGGGTTCCTGTACCTCCTTGACTGCCCACTGGAGCCTACAGATGTGCTGGGCAGGCAAGGATTTTCCTGGAGATCCTGTGATCCTCCTAACTGCCTGACAGCTTGCCTAAAAGGCTGGACTTACCCGGATGTTGGGCCGCTCTGGAGGAACTTCTGACACCATCTTGTGGTTGGAGATGCCACTGTTGATGGTAGCAGAATGCTTCCCGCCTGTTTTGCTGGACATGTCCAAGGGCGATCTGAATTCAAGTCAACAACAGAGGGAAACGAGTTAGAGGCACAAAACAAAAGAAAGCCTGCCGTTGCCCTGCCACCCACTGTCCAGACATCAACACCAAGTCCCAGCCTGAGGTGCAGCTCAGAAGTCATCCCAGGGGCTCCTTCTGGGATAATCTCACGTTTCTTCTGTTCATTTATGGATTTGACTTGTATTTTGTTGGTTTGTGCGTTTTGATTTTTTGAGGCAGGGTTTCTCTGTGTAGCTATGGCTGTCATGGGACTCAATCTGTAGACCAGGCTGGCCTCGAACTCAAAGAGATCTACCTGCCTCTGCTTCCTGAGTACTGGGATTAAAGGTGTGCACCACACCACCACCACCCGGCCAGCTTGTTGATTTAAAGATAGAGCCTCACATAGACAAGACTGGCCTCAAGCTCACTATGTAATGGAGGGTGATCTTGAAGTCTTGATCTTCCTGCATCTTTGTATGGAATTCTAGGATTATAGGTGTGTGCCACCCCATGTGGCTTTATCCTGTCTAAAAATCCAGACCCTGAGATAATAGACTACTCATTACTCTTATCTTATTTTGAGACAGGGTCTTACTATACAGGCCAGGTTGGTCTTGAAATCAAGATCCTCTAGCTTCAAGAAGCCGGGATTACAGGCGTGTAACCACCAGGCCTGTGTCCTATTTTAAAGTTTCAACAGCATACATGTATGTGACCCCAGAGGGAGGGAAATCCATTGATCAAAGGCAGTCGTGGCAAAGACAAAAAGCAAGCAGAGGGAAACTTACGTTTTCAAGTTAAACTTGTTGTTCTCCTCTGGGACCTGGCCAGTCACTGGGTGTCGAAATGTGTTGCGTCTTTCATTGTGGCTGCAGAGGACAAAGAGGGAGAGAGCTGCCATCAGCTAGGGAGGGCAGAGTCACAATCCAAAGGGTGGCAAGCCACAGAAGGAGCTGTGGCTCTGTTCCCCCAGCGGGGTCAATAGGGACAAGGAAATGACTGGACCGAGTACTGGAAGATGCCGGTGGGTGGGGTCAGGGAGAGAGAATAAAGCCTGGTCACCTCTCGCTGGTTCAGTGTTAACCACCTGCTAGACATCCCAAGCTGTCAGCAAGCTATACTCAAGGCATTCAGTGGATGGGAGGGAGGCTGAGACGGGGCTTTCCAAGCCTGAGTTTGACACTGTCGAGATTTCATGCAGCAGCTTCCCTCCCAGGGACAGCGCCTGCCCGTGTTCCACACAGAAAATGCTTGCTCATAATTGGCTGAAAGAACTCCCTTGTGACCTTGGGCTCCTCTCCTACTCTAAGCCCCACCCCTTTCTTCAAATGTGTCAGGAAATTCGGAAACTCCATGATTGAGCTTGGGCTGGGCATTGCAGAACCACCAGGATATGCCAAGCAGCAAGGTCAGTGCTGGCCTAACAGCTGTACCCGACTGAGGGCTACTATAGCTAAGAGTGGGGTTGGGTGCTGAGCCTGCCAGGAAGTTGGGGGAGCAAGTCCCAGGGGCTGGGAATGAGGCAGACAGGAGCGCAGGGAGAAGGTGCCTCTGGCTGACAGGATGTCAAGCCAGGTCCTGGGTGAGCTCTCAGGGGACATGCAGCAGAGAGCTCTTCCAGGGCAGCAATGGCTTAATAAGTGGGGACCACTTGTCGAGAATGTGATAGTGTCGAGTCCACAGGGTGAGACAAGTTAAAGGCCCTCCTCCCTGACACCTCTTCAGAAAGAGAAAACCCAGCACCGGCCCCAGCTGACCTTAAGAGCAGGCATGGGGACAGAGACTGCTAAAGTCACTTCAGTACTCCCACAGCACAGAGCTGGTTCTGCCCAGTCAACCTCAGGCCAGCCAGCACCTCAGCAAAGTGTGCTTAGCTTGGTCCCTTCCACCCTCTCACTACCCCAGGATCCATCCCAGCCCTCAGGATGCCAGCCGAAGCTAAAGATAATATCAAAGGATGCTTTCTTTTCGGCCCAACCAGTGTTGTTCAGATCAAACCCAGACATGCAGGAGAAAGAGGCACAGCAGGCAACGGCTTCAGCCTCTTTGGATGCCTGGACCTAAAACCTGACCAGCATCCACCAGGCCTGAATTTAAACTCCGCACATTGGTGACCACCCTCTAGTTCCTCAGTTAGTGCCTCCCCATTCCTAAGTCTTCTAAGGACGCTCCCTCGATTTGGTCACAGGGAATCTTTGCAAGCAAAAGTACCAGCCTGTCACCCTCGTCCTCGGACTTTGGCTCCCAACAAGGCTGAGGGCAGCAATCTGGGACAATGAAGCTTCTTAAAATGCCAAACTCTCTGTTTTGCCCTATGTGTGGAGTGCCTACCTGTTTCCTGCCCCCACCCTAGCCCTCCAGGCCCCTTCTGCTCTGTGTTCCTGGGAGCACCCTCCAGGCATTAGTTCAGACGGTCGCACATAGAAGCAGCCCGCTGTTGCCCAGCTCAGTTTTCCAGGGCATGGCACACCTCTCCCAGGCCTGAGCCTCCTACCCAGCAATCCTACAAACAATGCCCTCGTTCCACCCGCTGGTAGCAATTTCAAAATAGCCTTCTCTCCACAGGCACTGCAATGCAGTAGGCACTGACCTAACTACTCTCCTCTCAGGTCATGGTCCTCTCCGGCAGACCCCTTACCGCCCAGCCCTGAATTCAAACAGGATCAGCAACCAACTCGGCCTGCTCTGATTTCACTAGGCTCATGGTCCACAGAGGAAATTCCTACCTCACCCGTCGATCAGCCCGAAACTTCAACATCTTTTTGGAAGCTCAGTCCCCAGTTCGGCAGCCTCAGAGGAGCCACCAGCCACCCTGCTGCTACCATCCCTCTGAGAAGTAAGTCCTTGGTTCCAACTCTTAATGCTGTGGCAGAGACGCGGGGCAGGCTGGGGCAGGTTCCATGGGCTGCCCTTTCTCCTGGTGCTAGCACTGGAGAACGGGGACAGGGCTCCCTGCGGACAACGGGAGGGGTTGTCCAGGTGCCCTAGGGGGCCTGTGGCCTCCTAGAATTTGCCTGCGATGCTACTGTTAGAGGGTCGGAGGCAGAATAAATGGAGAAGAGAGGACCTCCTCCCAGTTCAGGTTCTCAAGAAGGAAATGCAGAAATGGAGAGAGGTATGCACGGAGCAGGTGTACGGCTTCCAGGTAGTCCGACCTCACTGAGCTAAGGACACCGAGCAGCTGGGCGGGCGGAGGAACATGGGCTGCATTCCCATCTGCACGGAAGCGCATGCCAGCCCAACCTGCAGGGAGATGGTGCTCCAGCCTCTCCAGCTCCCAGCCCAGGCACAGGCTCTGGGGCTGCAAACCAACTTGCTTCTCAGAAACCTTCCAAGCCCTTCTGAGGGTTAAAGGATGCTTCCGGTTCATTGGCTGTTATTTGTTGCCGTTGCTGAGAAGCTGAGGAGAACTGAAGAAGTCTCCATTCCCTCCTCTCAGCCTGCCCAGCTTTCATCTGTACAGACAGGAGCAGCTGTGCAACCGGCCTGGCACACTCCCCTCTCCAGCGGCACGGCTCGCTTGCCCAGCTGGTAAGGAGCTGGGCGTATGCAGCCCGAGCGGTATGGGCGGGATGTTTGTGGAGCCCCAGCTGCTGGCAAAGATCAGCTTCTTTACTCAGAAGTGGAAGGAAACCTTCCTCCCAAGGCTGGTGAGGAAGAGGGCAGGGAACAGGGATCGAGGTGGGGTCATGGTATATCTGTTGCGGCAAATCTTCCCAGATGCCAGATGATAGATTCCAGCTGGTAACGGTCAGATCTGCTCGGCTGGAAGGTTTGCATGGATGCTAATTCCCCCGAATAGGTCAAGGCTAGTCAAATCTCCTCTTTCTCACTGGCCTCTGTGCTTCAGGATTCTTGGGCTGGAAGGCCTTCTGAAGGTCATCTCCTCATCCCCCTGCCTCCAGACAAGCTTATTCTCTTATCTATCAGTCCTCGCAAGAGCCTTGCAGGTTTGTCAAGGACTCCAGCAAAGGAGGACCCAGGCTCAATGTCATCTTAAACAGCCAAGACGCTCTTTCTGATGCTGTCTCAGCTCCTCTGCCTGCTATGGGCTTCCACTTCACACGACAGCTTCCTTTCTGACCAAGGTGCTTCTTTTTGCAGCCCCGGGCATTGTGCTGACATCATAGTCTGTTGTTATGGCAACTCTGTGATGTCACAGTAGACACTAAAAGGGCAGGGCTGATCTAATTATTCGGACTGAGGTCAGAGGAACAATGGGATCAGTAAACACAAAAACAAATGGACAACATTATTATTTAACCCACAAAGAGACGAATTGGCCAGGTGTAACTGGGGCCACTGATATTTAAACAGCTAATCCTAAATCCAAAATGTCAATATATTCAGTCATTTAGTGGGGCTTTGGTCATTGATTTGTCTTGGTGACAGGAGGCCTTAGGTCTGGGGCTGAACCTGTCTCCAGTTACCTGAGCCTTCTCCAGATGCCTTCTTGAGTTCCCTGTCTGCCCATCATGGGTACCCAATAAAGTTTTGTTGGATGTACAAATGAACAGATAAAAGAGACTTCCAGTGCTCTGGTGTCATTTTTAGCCACCTGATTTTGAAGGTTGATATTCTATTACCAAGGGCTTTCCTATCTTAGTTCTCTCTCACAATTAATTACTTCCTCCCTGGGAGGGGAGCTCTGTTTCTGTCCCTGCGCCCCCTCACTCAGCTTCCCTGACTGGCTCCCCCTGAATATATAGCTTGGCTTTCATCCATCTTCATTAAGAGGAGAAGAAAATTAAGCTCATCTGAATAGGAGGGGGGGGTGGAGTGCATTGGGAAAATGAGTTTTCTTCCACTAGGAGGCAAAAATATCCCCCTTCTCTTCAAGCTGAGCTCAGGGGCCTCCCACAGCCTTTGCTCAAGTTAAATTACTTCTCTGCTACCGAGTGAAGACATCGCAAGGGAGAGGGATGGAGGGCACAGACTCCTGTGCACCGAGAGCCCCAGATCCTCAGTGTTAGGTCAGAACACAGAAGGCCTGGCTGGGGTTCCTCACCATTGCCCTGCACAGAATAACAGTTTTCACTGTAAGTAAGGCAGCAGGAAAAATTTACCAGGGATAGAATTAACCATCTTTCCTCCTCTTTACTTCCTTGAGGGACGTCAGAAAGCTTCCCTTTCTTAAGGGCAGATGCCTAAGACCAGACCCAAGGTGACCTTTCAGACTCCACTCCCCCAAAAGTAAGAAACTCAGGAAGAAAAAGACTAAGCTGCAGAAGAGAGAGCATCCTTGATTTCCAGAGTTGTCCAAGAGGTGGTCACTTCTCTACTGGGCCTACGAGGCAGCCGCTCACTTGGGAGTGCCATGAGCAGAAAGGGAACTGGGCAGGTCCATCTTCACTGTGGGCCACATCAAGTCTGCAGTGCGGCCTCACCTCACCTGCTTAGCCCTTAGTTTGCTCATGGGCAACAAACAAGGCCTCTTCTAATTCTGTGAATTAATCCCTGCAAACTTGCAATGTGAAATGTTTCATGCACAACACAGGGTGGCTATAAACATTGTGCTTGAAAAGGATCAAGAAATATGCTGAGCGCAAGAGTGTGAGTGAGGAACCAAGGACAGATGAGAGAACCGCACTCAGGATTTGGGCAGGGTGAGGGCGGGCTTTCCACAAGGTCCAGACACGTTCCCTCCACCTTATCAGGGCACTTCTGTGGCTCAAGACATCCTCATCTTCTATGTGGTGTGCACCTGGCACCATGCAGCAAAAACCAAGTCTTCATCGCCCTGAGCAAGCATGCACGTACATGAGCATGCACACGAGTGTGCGCACGCACACACACATGCACACACACGCACACGAGTGTACACACACACGCATACACACACACACCACTTCCAAGATAGATGTGCAAG